GAAATTAAATGACATTTATAGAGAATAAACCAGTTAAAACATAAAATATCGCATAAAATATAGGAAAAGACAATGAGTGACCCAATAAAATATAACTATCCAAATTCCAATTATTCAAATCTATTACAGTGCAATAAAATACTACATAACCATCGAACTTCCAATTGTACAATTTTATCCCAAAAAAATCTAATACAATTTTATCCAAAAACAAAATCTAGCAGCAACCCAACACTTTCCCCAAAACAATACAATATTGTTTGTAATAACTGAATAGTAAGTGCAGTATCATGACAACAAAATCCAATATGATAATATATTTCACTTACATCAAACAATATTTATATAAACTATTAATTGATTATTTCTTATAACTTAGAATATTAGTTATTATTTTATTTCATATGAAATATGTAATTTTATTTTATATCTAACTTTAATTTCTTATAATTTAGAATATATTATTATTATTATTATTATTATTATTGAATGTAAAAGCGTATGTTTATTTATTTAACAAGTATTTTAATCATAAAACCGTCCAAATCATAAAAGCGTATGTTCATATTTGGTTTTGATGATTTTTTCATACAAAATCGGAAACGCCCCTATAAGTAGTCTCGCTGGTGGAGAAAAGAAATAAATTAGAAATTTAACGTTTCCATTTTTAACATCCAAAACCAAAACTCCAAATGTCAAATCAAAGATGTAAATACAGCATTGGATTTGAGCCATGAGCCCCCTTATCTTGCAAACTCTGCGAATAAGGCATGCATATAAACTGATTTATCCAGTTCGGATTCCAACAATCATCACATTTACACATAAATATAAAAGAACTGAAAAAATATATGTAAATTAAAAGCTGCATACACCGTCTAGTTATACTTACACAAATTACGCATAAATTCTAAATATTTTTGCATCTTGATCACGCATGCATTATTATGTTTCCAAACAAAAGGATACACCACATTGCCACGCTCAACGCTAATATTAATTTGAAGAACAACAATAACATGTTTGTGTTGAAGATTGTGTTAGAATGTGCTTAACAGCTATCTTCACTCAAAAGAAAGTCTTTGATTTGTTCTAGCGCCTGAAAATACGTAGGCACAAATAAGTATCAATTATGCAAAATGTAGATATGATTTTAGCTCTAGAAAATGTTAGTTAATCCCACAACCAAACTAAAATAAAATTCTGAAGATGGGGCAGAAGTGACATACCTCCATTGCAATAGCAGCAGGAGATAAATCTGAGACATCTCCATGACCCAGTTTTGCAACCATATCTGTAAAAAAAGGGCATAACTCAATAATAGAGGGATGCAAGGTAGAATGCGGATGATCAATGAATAATACCCTATAAATCTGAACAATAAAGCAATATGAATTTTCATGCTTTAACATTGGATAATCTTTGAAGACTACCCAGAACACAAGATCAAAATAATTAATTTGCCCAAGTCAAAGGAGTTTTTAAAGAACAATTCCCTTCCATGTTGAATTCACAATGATTCTGGATAACTATTCTTAATTTCTTATTTAAAAATTGAAATAAAAATGGCAGACATACTTTCCAAGGAGACCCTAGCATTGGCATGTGCATATGCTTCACTTCTTTCTTCAAAAAGGGCAGACAAACGCACGAAAGTCTGCAGGTGAGTTCCAGAAGGTAAAATACATAATTATTTAGTGAAAATAAAAATATTTTTTATGCTAATACCCTACTTTGATCGTTCCTCTAACTATATAAGACTCTTCATATATATCTTTTGAGGAATCAATTTTACCTTTGTGTATGCATCTCCCGGTTCATAGTGTAGAAGTGGGCGAGAATCAGTTCCTACAGCTGTTATTCTCCGAGCCAATGCTTCTACAGGTACATCCAACCAAACACTAATTCCTTGGTGCATATGCTTCCTAGAAATCCATATATAAGTATGTGTGAAGACTAAATTGAGAAGAGCTAATGCACAATCGGGGGTAAAACTTTACTCATTGGTATGTTAGTTATTATACCAATTAATGGGCCTCACAACAGCACCTCCACCGGTAGAAATAACATGTCTATGCAACATTGACAGCTTCCGCAATATCTCAGTCTACAACGGTTAAATAAGCACGGAAAATGAACAGATAACGTGATAAATAGATAGTTGAACCCGGAAGAAAAACAAAGCAATTCAAGACACTCCTAAATGTGCTCATTGTGAGACAGAAGAATAGTAATTGGCAGATTCATCAGTGATTTGCTAGCACATGTTCTCATTAGATGAAAAGGCATCCATTACAGTATTCGGCAAGCCTAAGGTTGATATCAATCAAACTGTTACATCAAACGATCATGAAATTTGTGAGATCAAACTAACTGTAGAACTTAAAGAGTGAATACTTGTGTCCCTAGATAGGATTGTCGTTAGGTTTTATCTCCAACACCATTTAGGAGCTATTGTGGCAGTGTTGACTACCCACAAAAAAGGGTTGAGGTGTTTGAGACATGCCACAAAGCGAGGAGAAAGGGTGCGTGGAGAGATGAGTTGGTGTGACTTACACACGGAGAGGAGTGAGGTAAAATAGGGGAAATTGTGATATGGAAGGGATGTGTAGAACTGAGTGAGGAGGAGTGTTTCTTCTTCGAAGGATCAACCATTCATTGTTTCTTTCCATAACTACATTTGAATAATACACACATTACATCACTGTCATAAAATTCTTATTGCAAGATTCCTGCTCCTGCCAGTGTTAATATTTAGTTTCTCAACAAACCAAACTCAACTAATTTTATCTGCCAAAATCCAAATTTCCAAGTGTAAATGTTCTTCAATTATTATATTAAGAAAGGAGAGGAGTTAGTGTGTGGGATAACAATCCATGAAATTAATGAAAAGAAGCTATGCTGTATCATTCATCAATTGATACTTTAGAATATACTACTGCCATTTCCTTTTTGCAGCTTACTTTAAAAAGGTACACATGCTGCATAGATTAAATTTGGATAGAAGAAAATGATGAGAGTATTGCATAAGGATAGAAGAGAAATAGGAAAACCTAATAATTCAAAAACCTTAGCAAAAATCTTTCATATATTGAAGAATGAGGAACAAGGAACTATTGTGTTCTTTTAGATGACCTCTTTATTACGAAAAAATGTCTCTCCATAGTGCTTGAATATATCAGCTACAGATGTTCCATCAACCTCCTCCTCCACCAATGCATCACTGCTCCCACAAATGCAAAAAAGAAAATATAAAATTTCCAGTTGAAACTTTAATGTGTGCATGAAACAGAATAATTCAATTGTGATACGCAAACATTTACATAAGGAATATTTTATACCAAAGATAGACCCGACTTTATCCTATTAATATAACACATTTGTTGCTTCTCCTTAAAGTCAGATGATATCAGTCTCCTGTAATCATCAGTTGAAATTCTTTCCCTATTGGATTCAAAGGTTGCATGCTTCAGTTACCTTCAATACAATATTTTCACTTTGAAAAGAACATAGGAGGGGCAATTAACAAACTAACCTATCAAAAAACGCATAAGAAAGCACTTGTGACAATATCTTTCCCACGGTTGTCTTCCCAGAGCCCATCATTCCTACATATCAAATTCAAAATATTTTGTACTTGCAATGTATTTAAGCACAAGCACTTCTACCAAGAAGAGACTGACCAACAAGATATATACAGCGCCCATTTAAATATGGCTCCATCTCTTGTGATTTACTCTGCAATTTTATGGATTCATGTAAGATAATGACACGTTGATGTTCAGACAAGCAACAACTGAGCTAAGATTACCATGTCTAGATGGTATCTTGTAACCTAAGGTTGCAACATCATTACACTAAAATGCCTTAAATTAACTGAAAGTGGGAAAGGGCATCGTGTCATATACCTTCAAAATCAATTTTTCATCAACAGGAGCATGAAAGGTATATGATTCCAATATTCTCGCTGCAGGAGTAAACATTTGAAAAATTAAGTGAGCACTCAAAATGGACAACACCAGCAAGTTTTCCAATTAATCAGCTAAGAGAATTGTGACTAAAATGCAGATGATTAAAGGTAGCTCAAAATTAATAAAGCCACGCCTAGCTCACCTTGATAGAAGCAAACCTCATGGATGCAGAGCTGGTAAGAACATTACTTTTCCTAAGCCATGTAATGATTTTCAATATAGTCTCAAATAGTTGTGTGCATTGATTTCAAAACAAATTAAATAAATTAAAAACAAACTTCCTATACTTATTTTTCAAACTACATTCTACTAATTTCAAAAGTGCTAAAGCTCCGATGAAATTTCATTTCATTTTTCTGCAAATAATTCACCAGGGAAGCAGCGAATAAGATATTAAAACAGGGAACAACAGAAAACTAATGGGAAGCTACCTTTGACGGCAGGTTAGCAATTTCCATACGATTACGAACCGTAATTTTTTATCCTAATGTTCTGACATTTACAATAAATATTACTCCTTCCTGTAATCAGTAGTAATTCAAAATTTGGTTTGCAAAATAACCAGTTCAAATTATATATTCCTTTCTGCAATGAATCACACTAAATACTAAAATCGAGAAGAGAAAACGCGCAATTCTCGTTTGAAACCAAAATATATTATTTAATAAAATCAGATTTTATTATTATACTATTCTCATAAAGATTAGTACGAATAACGTACAAAACAGATATATAAGGAAGTTTGAAAGCTAAAGGCAGAAAAAAATGGCAATCACTGTTAACAAATAGTCAAAGTGTGAATACTTTCGACAACAACCTGGAATATTCTCATGCGAACATGCAACCATCAAAGATGTTGTCCTTCGCTGTATCCTCGTTGAAGGTCTTGCTGGCCGAAACGTCGACTAAACAAAAAGCTGTTTCTTAAATCCACCCAACATTCTGAGAGAATCATTTGGCTCTGTTCTCTCAAGCTTCGTGAAATGCGTCATAGCTGAAAAATGCAAGGCTTGAACCGCTTTAGCTTCCATGGCGCTTCGCCTTGAAACTATGGAATTCAGAAGTAAAGTAATCAATGAAGGCACAATCAAAACGGTGTCGGCCGCTATTATAATGCAGAGCCACTTTTTGAATTGTCAACTATTGCACAAACACTTTCCAGTTATGTATTCATGATTCCAAGTGGATGAAAAAATGGAGCAAGACGACAAACAGAATTGATAAAATAGATTTAGTGAAACTGGAATGAATGATAAAAACTGTACCGCATGAATTACCAGATTTGATATTATAGTAATGTTTTGTCATCTTCTTATAACCTTCACAACCTTCACATATTTTTGGATTCAAGTAAATAGTTTCGGATTAAAATTTTAGATGCGTAGTTACATTAGAAACAAGAGAGTTGTTATCATAATAGATTAGTCTTGTTCGATTCTCATAGAATTATTTGTTCAAAACTAGGGTTGAGTTAAGTATTGGTAATTTTATAACTCTATTTTATTTTAGTGCAGATTCTTTTATTTAGGATTAGTAATATATTACATTATTTTAATCCTCCTATCACAATGAAAACAGTATCCGTTGATATTTGCAGATATGTTATTAAATAAATATGTTAAATAGATTTTTAGGATATTGCATACTAGTATTTTAATTATTTATTTATTAATAGAACCGTACATATATCATGATATTCAATTTACATATATTTATTAATATTTTTGTAATAAAGTTATTAACGAGAAAAATATTAACTATTTTTATTTTTATTTTTATTTAAATTATATTTTATAAAAAATTATTAAAAATATATAATAAAATAAATATATTTCTAAATTAATTTTTAAATAATTCTATTTCCAATATATATATATATATATATATATATATATATATATATATATATATATATATATATTCATATTCTCAGAGTAATGTTGTCATCCATGTTTATAAAGATGTATTTTTTATCATAAGATAAAATCGTGATGAGATGAAAGTTTTAAAATGGATAATATTTATTTCCAATATATATATATATATATATATATATATATATATATATATATTCATATTCTCGAGTAATGTTGTCATCCATGTTTATAAAGATGTATTCTTTATCATAAGATAAAATCGTGACAGATGAAAGTTTTAAAATGGATAATATTTCGAACATGAGAATTGATCTTAACAATGTTATCATTGCGAACATGAGGTCAGAACATTCTCATTTCTACACGAAACATTAGCACTCACAGTGGGATTAAGAATAAAGTTTTATTCCACTCATACATACCCTTTAATGCTCGATTGGAGGTTTATGTTCTTATACGTTCATGAGTTTTACACCACTTAGAGCATCTCCAATGAGAGTTGGAGAATCATTTTTATTCCTAAGCAACTCTTGGTAGTCATGATCCATATTTAAATAAATAGTATTATTAAACATGATTCTCAAATAAAAAAAGTTATATTATTCAAAATTCATATTTTAAGATTTTTTATATTAATTTTTTTAAATTGTAATATTCAAATAATTAATCTTGTAACGTGATGCACTTGACCCTATGATAAACGATAATGTTACGTTACGTTTAAGAACGAAAGTGTCTTAATTTTATGTTTGTCATGATAATATCATTAGCATAAATTCTCGTATCGAATATATAATCCATTTTAAAGTTTTTATTCATCACCATTAAGATTATATATATATATATATATATATATATATATATATATATATATATATATATATATATATATATAAACTATGAATACCTAAATTCTCTAACTCCAACAATTTATAATAAGTATAATTAAAAAATTAAAACATAATTAATATAATCTTGAATTTATCAAATTATTTATTTTCTAAATACGTCTTGTCACAGATTTTATGACACATCCACATAATCGCGTCAATATCAATATTAGACAACTTTCTTTTAAATAATTTAATAATATTAACAAAAGTGATAATATTTTTTCTTTAATTAAATAAATAAATTAAAACAATAATTAAGCGAAATTTAAAAAAAAATTGAAAACAATCACCTGTAGAAATTTAAAATTATATTTACACAATTTTTTGTTTAAAATTTAACGTCTTTCACTTTCTTCATTAATATTTAAACACCAAAGTTTACGTTTATCTCTCTTCCTTAATAAATGTTTAGATAGTAAACAAAATATTTTTCATGACGCGTTTCGTGTTAGTTAATCCTGGAATAATCAGGAGTCGCAACATAAATTTCATTAATCTGTCTCTTTTACTTTTCTCTGACGAATCAGACAAACGAGATTAACACATACAATCTAATCTTCTTCAAGCATTTGAAAGTTTTAAAAGTGATGGCGATGGTAACAATGAGACAACACAAATTAGACAAAAGATGCAGATATTTTTACAGGTAATATCACTGAACAAAGCCATTTTCAGCCGATGAAGGCGCAACCCGTTTTGCTTGTTCCTCTTCTCCCTTGTTCTCCTCTTTCACAGCCAACACAACCAGAACCAACAACAAGGGATAGCTAACAGTGGTCAATACCCAATTCACAATCAACTGAGTCATAGCTGACACCTTCTGGTTGTCAATTTGCCAAGCCACTGCAGCCCCTGCACTTTGTACGCCTTTATAGAACCCTACATACCTGCATAACCATCACCACGAATAATAGTTAATTCCCAAAAATTCCAACATCATCAGAAGTATATTCTCAATGAATAGCACGCCTTTATAAATACAAAAATCAATCAAATAATTGAACATGAGAGACCAAGTGAATCTTAGTAGTCAGATTCAAATCCTGATTATTGAACATGGAGAAAATCAGGAAGGCGTATTTGTTTATGAGTGTTAACTGAAATAAATACTCCTTGCAATCATATGCTTTGAAGAAAAAATAGAACAAGAGAGATTCTGCTACATATGTTGACTTACCTGCTAAGAATCTCAGAATCGTTGGCGAGGGCCCCAATAACCCAATAGACCATGCTTTGGAACATGGCATCAAGCAAGCCAAAACAGAAAAACAAGACAAAGGGTCCAGCATAGCGAGAACCCTCCTTAAAATCCAAGACCGCAACGAGGTCACGATTAATCTGATTAGCAAGTGCACCACCCCATATACCAGAAGCTAGAAGAGCAACCACACACACTCCCACAACCCCTCTTTTCCTGCGACTCTTGAAACTGAAATCCATCACATAACCAATCCCAATCGAACCAAGCATCTGCGCCCCCCAATAGAACACGTTGTTGAACCCTCTAGTCCTCAAATTGAACTGCAGCTTATTAACATGGTTGAACTGGTAGGTGTAGAAGAAGTTACTACACCAAGCAGCGGGAACAATGAGAAGCATCTTCCAATTGTAGAAAAGCTTGAGAATTTCAAAACATTCGTTTGTCACATTGGAGTACAACATGTTGGTGCACCTAGTGCCATCATCGCGAACAACCTTGCTGGCTGGCAAAATGGTTAACGACAAAACAGCCCCAGCGGACATAAAAGCCATGAACCCTATGTAGGTTCCGTCGTTGACGGTGGCAGCAGAGTCACCACGGTTGTAGTTCAAAATGAAGGGAATTAACCCACCGATGACACCCCCCATGTTGAAGATGCTCCAGAAGATGGAAATGTAAGTGCCTTTGCGATTTTCCGGCGGGTAAGAGGTCATGATGGCGCCCTGCGCCGCCCAGAGAAGGCCAGCGCCGATTCCGAGAATGGCGCCGGCGGTGATGGCGAAGAACTGGTGCTGGTAGTGGTTGTAGTAGAGGAAGGAGCCGGCGTAGAGGACGTAGGTGGAGCAACCGGCGAAGAGGGTGAGGTGGGGTCCGAGGATGTTATAGATTCCACCGCCGAGGATGCCGAAGACGGCGAAAGTGGTGTAGAGGGCGGTGAGGGCGTTGTTGGATGCAGTGGTGTTAAGTTGCCCGCCGCCACCCATGCCGGAGAGGGCGTTGAACATGCCGGGGCAGCAAAAGCATACGAACCCAATAAGAACGGTCTGAATCAACGGCGAATTGTACCTGAAAAGGTAAGAACTTTTTGCGCTCTCAGGTATCTGGGTGCTTGAATCATCATTTCCGGGGGTACCCATTTGAAAAGGAGAATCGAATTGGCACAGAGTGTGAGAGGGGAAGAAGAAAAAAGTGATGATTGTCTGGGGAGTGGAAGAGTTTAAGTAGAATAAGAGTATGGGAGGATAAGACTGGGGTCCATAAGAGGACAAAGTTGGAGTAAATTTTCCATTTCTGTAGTTTGCAGATGAAATTGTAGGCACATGGCAGTGAAGAAATGAAGCATTGAAGTTGCTTACGCAATCTCCTTATCTCAGCGGAAACGGCCATTTTCTTCTCCTCAAACTATTTGTTTATGGTGTGACATTGATTTTGGAGCTCCATTGCTCTGATAAACAAAAGTGGGTTATTGTTTTCCTTTAGCGGTGAATCAGTTTTTTTATGTCGTATCATTCAAAGAATTTCTTTACAATTATTTTTATTATTATTATCAATTTGAAATTCTAGCTCTTTTGTAAGTGTTGACTGAAACTTTGTTGGAAATTACACTGGAAAGAAACAAAATATAAATGAATAATATATATATATATATATATATATATATATATATATATATTACTGCTTAATTTAAAATTTATTTTAGATAATACGAAAGAATTTCATATTAACTATCCATTTGATAACGAAGTAAAAAAGTAGAAGGTAAGGAAAAAATAATAATAAAGGGAAAAATATATATTTATTTGAGGAGAAAGTGATAAAAAATTAATACAAATTATTATTTAATTAAATTTTAATATTTATATAATTATAAAATTATTTTTATGAAATAATTGTATAAAATAACATTTTCTTTGCATTTTTTTTCTTTATACATGAGAAAAAAATAGATATCTTCTTTTTTCTTTTTATTTACAAATTATTTTTACAAATTTAAGAGCAAATATTATCCACAGCGTCGTGATTTTCTTAGAACGAATTTAACTTATGTTAAACACTGATAATTTCAAATTTGTTATATAATTAATTAAATAAGAAACTATCATTCAAAACAATACATACTTTTTATTAAATTAATTTTCGTGGTTTTCTTTTTTATCCATCCATTGAATCCTCGTGAATCTAGTCTGGATATTAAGTTGGAGCGGTAACACCAATAGACTAGCAAAGTAGAATACAAATCCAAGAAATCAACGCTGTTTTTTTCTTGTTACAAAAATTAATGTTTTTAAAACTGGATTGATGAGTAATCCGGTGAAGTCATGAATGTTTAAAGATCACCCAATCATTCAGTTAAATTTAATAAAATAATATTTTATAATATAATTAGCATATCATAAATATATTAATAATATTATTATTTAATAAAGAAAAGAAAAATAATAAAATTATTATTATGATTATCATAAATTATAATAAAAATTATGAATATAAAATATATTAAAAATATAATTATTAATAAATCGAAAATACGATAAAATAATTATTATTTAAAATTGATATAATTAATATTAGATAAAAAATAGAAAAATAAAATATATTATATATTTTATAAAAAAGATATTTAATTTTTTTTATTAAGATCGGTTTGACAAAAATACAAGTCGATTATATCCGTTTTGTATCAATTTTTTTTTCAGTTTAATTAAAATCCTAGTATTTGAAAATAACAAGTCAATTTGTAAACAGGTTAAACCCGTCTGTCCAATTTTCAAAAACATGAGAACAACTGTAATTGTTTTTTTTTTTTTTCATTCCTAAAGTATTTCATTTATTTTATTTATAAAAATGTATTGATATTTATCGTAGAAAACGATAAATTAAGATATAAAATAATAAATTTTGTTTATTGATAAAATTTAAATATTAAAAATGTATTATTAAATAAAAATATATAATAATAAATGAATTTAAGAAGGTCAGTCAATGAATTTTAATATATAAATATAAATTACTATTGTTTAAAATTTATTAGGTCAAATTTTATTCAATATTAAAAAAAAAATTTCATTTAAGACATTATATAAACTATTCGGTTATATATAATATTATGTTTAAAAAATAATAATTATTATTAAAATATATATAACTTATCGCATAATACTATGATAAAATATATTCCAATATAATTATTCTATATTTTTATAAAACATCTTATCATTATTATTTTTTTAATATTATCTTAAACATCAAAGTATATTTATAAGTGAATTTTTTTTTCTTTTGATGTTGAATAAAATTGACTCAATAAATTTTAAAATAATAGTCAACTTGTCCAACTTTATTGAAACCTTCTTATATTTATTTATTTATTATTATTTCTTATATAAAATAAATAAATAATAATATTTTACAAATATACATTAAAAACATATCAAGAATGAGGATAAAATACATTAAATTGAAATGATATTTTTCATAATTATTTTAAAAATTTTATGAGATTGTCAACGTTCAACATGAAAGAGTATTTATTTGTAGTTTTGTTATCGTATTGTTGTTTCTGTCAAACAGGGGAAGGAAGGAGCAAGCCAAGCCGACTATGGCCGGCTTCAAACTCAACCATTCCTTAGTTGTTCCCCTCTCTTCAATTATTTGCCCTAATTCTGGTTCTCAGTGTCATAACATCATCCATCACTACTAAATTTTACTTCTTCCAATGACTCTCTTCTACTTGAAGACAATGAAATGTCTTTGTTTAGGGCTGAAAAATAAAATTTTCTTCCATTGTTATCCATGGTTTTTCAACGTCAAGTTATAAGCATCTTAGAGCAAATAATGTTATTAGTCACAATTATTTTATATCCACTCTTAAGAAGAAGAGGTATAAAAACAAGTATCACATAATGAAAAGAGAGATACACTCAATACAAATTATATTTAATGTAAATTTTTTTAAATTAACTAACTCAAACAAAAATTATTGCTGAATTATCTTCTAATACCCACTACTTTCACATTCTTTTCATAATTACAAACATGAAGCCACATGATGACAACTAACACTTTTTTTTCCAGTTTGTTATTTAGTTTGGTCAGCGTTTTGCTTAGAAATAATCAGAAGATTAATATTTTTTTTCTAGGACTGCATAACAAACAGAAATGAGTTTTTTTTTTTCAAATTTAATTTTCTTTACCTTCTTTTTATCAAATGTGTAATATACAAGTGATTCATTTGCTTGCCACTTTCACTTAATTAAATCTGTTAGTTGTGTTCCATGTTTCTGGTAAATAAGAGAATACATTTTTTTTATTAATTTATGAAATTCATTATTTATTGGCTACAAAAGTTATAAAAGTAATTAAAAGCTTTTTTTTTCCTTGAAAATTACTGCACTAGCAATTTTAATTTGATCTTAAAAAGACATAGATAAATTTCACATAAATCTTATATATAAATATCCAATAATCAGTTTTGAGGAGATTTTATTTGTGAAATATTCACATTTCACTTTACATTATTATAACTACAAGGTTCATTGAATGATTTGGATATAGAAAAGGCTGTTGCGATTGTATTTACAATTTTAAAAATATTTATAAATATTTTAAAAATAAAATTATAAATTTATCTTAAAACACAATTAAAATCTACAATTTAAAAATAATTTGATACTAAAATCTTAAAAATGAAAATAGTTATATAATATTTAAGAATAAACTAGTATGAAATTATGTCCCATTTATTAATAACTAGTGGAAATATGATGTCTGTTTTCTTAAAAAAAATATAAAAAATAGATTAAAATATTAATAAATAATTATAATATAAGAAAAACAATTAGTTTTTATAATTTAAAAATGATTCTGAAAATGGTTACTAAATTATTAAAGATAAAATTATAATTTTAAATGAAAATAATTGAATAAATTAGACAAATAATAAAACATTATAAAAGATAAAATATAAAAGATATGTATATATAGAAAAATTATACAACTCAATTTCTTTGTGTTACTTATATTTTTATTATTTAATTTTTTTAATTTAATAATTAAGATGAATTAATATATTAAAGAATAATTTTTTAATTTATTTTATTTTATTTTTGCTCTCTTCTTTATATATTTCTTTCTGTCTTTAGGGAGTACTAATTTGAAGGATTATTGGGAAATACGGGGCAAAATAATATGATATTACAATTTTGTAAAAACTTGCGTTGAATATGACGTATTACAACTAAAAATGTTAACATTGCAACAAAGAAATTGCTGGATGAGTGTCAAATTCCGAAGATTATTGTTAAGAAAATGACACATGAGTGAATAAAAAGACAAACCCATTTGATAGTTGTGTTGGTTTCAATCAATAAGAACGATATTTGTAGATGATGAAAAGAACCATCGAAACCAGTTCAGTAGATGATGAAAAGAAATTAGTGCCAGCAAATACAAAAACTCAAATTCACTGAGTCAAAGACACCACGTCGTATTTCTATATCTATCTTACGGGTATAATTTATTTTCAAATTCACCATATTTAAATAAATAGTATTATTAAACATGATTCTCAAATAAAAAAAAGTTATATTATTCAAAATTCATATTTTAAGATTTTTTATATTAATTTTTTTAAATTGTAATATTCAAATAATTAATCTTATAACGTGATTCACTTCGTGGTTCATGACTAGCAATCAATTCATATTTTAAGATTTTTTATATTAAAATATAAAAAAAAATTATATTGAGAATCATGACTACCAAGAGTTGCTTAGGAATAAAAATGAATATTTTATTATGAATTTTATATCCGAGTTGCTTAAAATTGGAAGAAAGTTGTTTGAATAAGTACCTCTAACCATGTTTTGAGTAACTCAATTGTGGGACCTATAATAAAATATTTAATTTTATTCTTAAGCAACTCTAGTTAAAAACTCTCTTTGGAGATGTCCTTAGGAGTAAAGGTTAAAGATAGTTTATATATCTCATCTTCTCTTAATATACCAAAACGTATTTTAAGGACAAAATTGTGATGAATGATAGTTCTAAAGCGGATAATACATCAAACATGAGAATTTATCATAATGGACATGTGGATGAGCTATACTCATTCCCGAACCAAATTTTGCGTCTACCATAGGCCCAAAGTAGAGTCTTGCTCCACTCATATCCCTTACTCCTTGACTAGATGCTTATGTTTCGGTATATTCATGAGTCTCACATAATTTAGGAATCGAGGTCAAGGATAGTTATATACATCATCTTCTCTCAACCACCGAGACGCATTTTAAGGACATGGACGATAATTCCAAAACGAATAATACCTCGAACGTAAGAATTGATCCTAATGACGTTATCATAGTAGACATGAGACAGAGATATTTTCGTTCCTAGACGGAATCGGGCAGAAATGAGGTTGGGATATTTTCGTTCCGAGATGAAATCAAATGTGACAATTGACTTTAACAATATTATCATAACATACATGAGGCTGAAATATTCTCGTTCCTAAATAGAATAAAATATATACGGTGAACTTCACATAGTTGTAAAAAATGGACGATTCAGTTTATGAGCCCTTGTTAAAAAAAATAAAAAATTAATGTGTCAGTCTAATTTATATTTAAAAACAGGTCATCATTTTTAGTCTAATTTGACTCTTTATTAGACCAATGAACTAATAAATCAAATTTTATCTGATACAAAATTTTAAAAAAATATATTAACGTGTACAAAATAATTAATTAAAAAAATATTTTAAAATTTTAGATTATATTAATGAAATTAGTTTTATTTAAGATATAATAATTTAAAATATAAATTATAGGATAATGGATTTATTCAATCTCATAATAAAATTGAAAATTTACTTAATTATCATAATTCTTATTTTAGTGATTTATTAATCTAAAATAGTAATTAATCTTAATTATTAGATATTGGAATAAGTGATTATTAGAAAATTTCTCTTATATTTATTATTAAGAAATTAATCTTCTTAACAAATTAATATATTATATGTACGTATTATATAAAATAATGTTATTTTTATTTAAAATATTATTATTATTCTATAAAATAAGTCGATCATTAACCTACTATTAATCTAACCTAAGTCTATGTAAATTATGACCTAAACAAATCTAAAAATAGATCCGGTTGAATTTAGTCATAATTTTTTTTATTTAAATTGATTTACTTTTTGAGTATTTCAAATCGGTCTATCAATTAAACTTATTTTGATAACCCTACCTACTTAACACGAGTTAATGTGATAAATTTCCTTAGTCATGATATTTTTGTTTTATATTTATTTAAATGTTCTCTTTATCTTAATGTGAGGGTTGAATCTAAGAGATTATGGGTTTTAATTAATTTATTTTGCTTATTTATGTTTTTAATTTCTCTTTTATTAATTTTATCGTACAAAAAGTTTATCTACTTTTAAGGAAAAAAATGTAAGAATTTAAATGTTGGACTTAATAGATAAATTTAGGTCCTAAATCACAAAAGTAAACTTAATTTTTCGATAAATCATTCTATTAATAAATGTAAAATATTAATTATATTAATTTTACTCAAACAAAAATATCAATTCTTGAGGCAAAATATAATTCTCAAATTTTTTATTATCAATTTCATTTTAAATATATTATATTCTCATTTAACTCTTATTACAAAAATAATGTTTAATTCTCATATATTATTATTATTGTGATTCGATATTATTACTAATGATAATTATGCATAATTATAATGATATATACAGCATTATTTTAAAAACACTGTTTAATATAGAAGATTAAAATATAAAAATTCATGCATAAAGTTTAAGGAATTATATATTTTACACCTGCACTGAATATTTCCTATCTCTGCATATCGATGAAATTATATAGTCTTATATGAATAAATTTGAGAAGTTTACATATAAGATTGAAAATAATTAATTTCACATCGTCTTAAATCTGATTTGATCAAATTAAGCTTATATTTTGATGCAAACAAATTTAAGTGGACTTTTGTATCCTTGAATTTGATTGGATTTAATTTTATTCCCCCCCCCCCCCAAAACCAAAATTATATCCCATTCTTAAACACCTCCAACAACTTGTTTGTTTGCTCAATTTATTTTATTTACCGTGAATTGGGTCAAAATGAAATTCAGGCCCAAACAATTTTCTAGATAAATGATTTTGGGCTTAATCAACCCGTACAGAAAAATGACCCATGTTTGTTTTCAGTTTCGGATTCGAGAATGAAATACTCTACCCTAGGTCCCACCGTAAGCATTTCTGCAATTTTGTCCTAGCACATTCTGCTTCGTCCACCTCTTCTCCGTCGCAACAGAAGCTACGCCGCAGCGATTCATCCCTGCAGAGTTGTCGAAGTCCTGTATCACTTCACTTATCGATTCTTTTTCGTTGCCTCTGAGGTTCTTAGCTTTCTTCCAAAATGGCCACGGTGATGCAGAAAATCAAAGATATCGAAGATGAGGTACTTTTTTTCTGAATGTCATAAGAGGAGTGATAGTGGACATGCGATTTATTCAAGAGGAACGTTAACAAGTTAATCACCGTTGATTAGCTCTTTAAAATAATTTAGAAAAAAAAGAGAGATTAATGTTATGTACCGCAGTGGGGTTTTTCTTTTCCTGTTTTATACATAGTTTTCGATTAGTCTAAGTTTGATTAAAAATCATGTTTTTTTCTTCTACATAACTGTTTCTTGCCAACATAGTTTAATTTTTAGTGTTTTTCTTCAGTCTTTTCAACGTAGTTGCTGCAAACTTAATTCTGCTTTCAATGTCTTTTTTTTTCCGTAATGATTGGTAAATTGTATTTTGCTATTTGCAGATGGCAAGGACCCAAAAAAACAAGGCTACTGCTCATCATTTGGGCTTGCTGAAGGTGAGCACGTCAGTGCATTTGGTTTTAAATAGCATTTGAAAAAGAAGCAAGAGATAAAGTATGTTAATAGCCTGTGTGCTGTTCTGAATTTTTTATGGGTGGTTTATTATATGCATTTTGCTTTAGTTGTGGTTGATTATTGAAGACAATTAAATACCTTAGTTCTTTTTATTTCAAATTTGGCGAAAATATTCTTTCAAGTACTGAAATATTGGCTTGATCTTGTTTGAGTTGATTGACAACATTTAGAAACGCAGCTGGTTCACGGTTATATGTGCTCTCGACACATATTAGAACTTGTAGACATAAGCCACATAGCACATTCTGCTCATGCAACTGACCGAGTTTTTTTCCATATGTAATAAGGATTCAGTGTTCTTTCAAGTTATTTTTTAATCATTGTACTTTCTTCTGGTGCGATCTGCGTACTTTGTTTTCACTCTTCATTCATTATAGTAATTTCTACTGCTTTGTATAGTTATTTATCTATAATTTTGGTTTATGCTGCTTATATAATTATGTCCCTTTGGATAAACGTATACTTATATTTAAAATAAGTAGATAAAACTCTGAATGTTTGGAGTCTTATCCTGCTTATCTTTGTTATTCTTGTTTATATTGTCACATCACATGGATCTTTCATATAAATTTCTTCTGATGTGATATTGAACGCAAGATGGGCAGTTTCTGGATTCTGCTTATATTTATAATTCATTCCTCCCCTTCTCTGACCTTTTCAAGTTTCTTGTCTGATTTCCTGTATCCCTTTGCTGTATTTGGTGGAGGAGTTGACATTATTGGTAACTGTTTGGTGCCAGGCTAAACTTGCAAAGCTGCGGAGGGAACTCCTCACACCTTCATCAAAAGGAGGTGGTGGTGCTGGTGAAGGTTTTGATGTTACTAAAAGTGGGGATTCAAGAGTTGGTCTAGTGGGCTTCCCTTCAGTTGGAAAATCTACGTTACTTAATAAGTTGACTGGGACATTTTCTGAGGTATGATGGTATCTAGGTGTTATAAATTTTCTTCTTTAATGTGAGGTATATTATAGTCTTATCCTTTATTTCTTTTTGTGTTTTGGAAAGTGATTTTGATTTAATGGAGTCCGAGGAAGGGCAACCTTTTGAGTTTTTTACTAGAATTAGGAAATGAGAAACTAAGAGAGTATAAAAATATGGTCATAGTAGGAGGAGTTCTCTTGAGAAATTAACAAGGGCCATTGGACACTGTGGCTAAAATATTGGATTTATATTATAACATTTAAACTTTCTTATGAATAATCATCTTCTATAGCTAGAGAGAAATGTAAACGTAGACTTACCTGTCCTATTCAAGTTCCACTTTTCAAAACAATGTCCATCGTTCAGACTGAATTGCAATATGCGGGAACTATAAGCAATATCAAATGCTCTGTTTTTCTTTTGGATAACAGAGGTTATGCATTGTGTTGATTAAGTAATCGACCATTGGTTTGGATGATGGGATGCACAACAATTTTCCAAATTATCTAAAGTTTAGGTTGTACTAAAGATTAAAGATTTTTCTGATGATTTTACTTGTTTCATTTATAGGTTGCTTCCTATGAGTTTACTACCTTAACTTGCATCCCAGGAGTGATCACATATCGTGGAGCTAAAATCCAGGTATCTCTACAAAAGCTAGCTATATGTTAATAAAATTATGACTTTACTATGCACAAGGGACATTTTTGGATGAGCTTCTCCATAAGAACTTTGGGGAAAGAAAAATAAGAAGAAAAAAAATGAAATGAACTTTCTTCATAAGCTAAAATTAGTTTATGCACAAGTTAAAAGTAAAAAATTTAGAGGAGTTAAATTAGAGAACTTCTACAAATGAGCTAGTGCATAGGCTAATTTCAGCTGATGGATAAGATTAATTGATATGTGAAACTACTCTATATTTGTAGCTTCTGACTATAACCTGCATTCAGCTCAGTTTTTTAAGGAACACTGGCATATGGGTTTTGTTGAATTTTATTTCTTCATCCTCTCATTGTTCATTTTTCCAGTGTTAGTAAATTGTGTTGGTTGTTGGATCAGTTACCCCCAGATGACTTAAAGAGATAAACGCCTAAAATTGATTAAAGCTTAATCTTCTGTTATTGTTATTGGGCTGTTTCTGCTGATATTTTTATGTATATTACCAATTGATATATTTGGAATTTTATTTTGATTGGGCTGTAGATTTTTTAAATCTCTTAAGATTTCTTATACTTGTACAATTTCGTCCTGTCTGTTTCTATTGTCAAAGGCTTCAAAAGATTATAAAGATAAAGTTTCCTTTTAGGCATGAAAGTGTTATGTAAACTGTGTTCTCTGAATATTTCTCTTGAGAACCAAGATAGTCCCATTAATAGTTTTCTTCAAAAATAAAATTTCCAACCTTGAAAGTTTATCCTCCATTAATTTATACTTGGGTATAGTACCATCTTAATCATTGTAAACTTTTTAACATGATTGTGATGTAAATTTAAATTTTTCAATTTTTAAGTAGTAATTGGTCGATTTTGTGTGGCAGTTATTGGATCTCCCTGGAATTATTGAGGGTGCTAAGGACGGAAAGGGAAGAGGAAGGCAGGTAAGAAAAAAAATTAGTTTGTTTTCGTCATGCTTAAACTACATTTTCTATCATTGTAACAATATAATTAGACAACTTCAATTAACCTAGCTAAAGCATCTTTTGTAAGTAAAGTTTTCAATGTAGTCAAAGTTCCATTAGAATATCTTTTATCTTCTTCTTTTCAAAGAGCTGAGTTCCTCACAATCTTAAAAATAATTATGGTGAGATTTGTGGCATATTTACAGAACTTCAGGTTTATGTTCTGTCATAATATGAACTGGGTGGGGGATTCTTGGAAACTGTTTTAGTAGCACACTGATCCAGTCCTTGTTTTGTGCTATCAGGTTTGTTAGCATTGAATATTTTGTAGCTACTTGTACAATGAATTAGATGTGTTATGTGTGTATGATATATCTCTAAAGTTCTGCCTACAAAATAGTTCGTTTGCAGCAACTAAAGACTTCTTTTCCCAATGAACCTTTCATTTCTTACACCTCATTCACACACGTACCAACAAACTCTCATGTTTTCTATTATACTGTTTGCAAATGCAGGTTATTAGTACTGCAAGAACATGCAATTGCATTTTGATTGTCCTAGATGCAATAAAGCCAATAACTCATAAGCGTCTTATTGAAAAAGAGCTGGAGGGATTTGGTATAAGGTAACATAGATATTGATTATTTAATATGTTTATGTTATGTCACTATTCTTGACAAGGCAGGGTTCTCCTCTCACAATTTCCCCCTACCATGTGTGGCGGCTTATACTTGAATGAATACTTCACTTCTTTTGTACTCTTGTTTAAAATGTATTTCTCAATGCAGCATGAATATGATGATTAGTGAAGATTATAGTGGCTAAGCATTTGACCTAAAAACAAACATTTCTGGCTTCACTGATGACAGCAGTTGCACCCATAGGACCGAAATAAGTACTGTAATTTGATATTGGGAGATAATGTGGCGAATTATGATATTGGGAGATAATAATTTAAATCTTGTGGAGGCTTGCTTCCTATGGAGTCATGATGGAGATGACAACTTATGACTTGGCTTTATTATTTAAAATTTCAGAAACCTTGTCTGTTTTATTTAAATATTATTGAACAATGTACTGTTGTACTGGTGGTACTGTTAGTAGTCTCAAATTCTATTTGGCCTCCTACTTTGACTTTGCTTCAAATAAGGAGGGATAGAAGTGCAGCAGGGGTTCATACCTCTCAATAACCAACAAGGGAAGTCTTGCTGCTGCGTGTAACCAACTGTGCAGCTGAAAGGAGGGGTAGGATCAGTTGGGAGGGGATGTCAGTCTGAGTAGATAATTTGTTTTAATTTTTCTTTTATGGACTATATACATGTATATAATGGTGTATTTCATTTACAAATTTAATCTAAAATTTTCTGGATTTCTATTTTCTTCTCATAACAATTTTTCCTCCTTATTTTTAGGTTAAACAAAGAGCCACCAAATCTGACTTTTAGGAAGAAAGATAAAGGTGGAATCAATCTCACCTCAACTGCCACTACAACACATCTGGATCTTGAGACTGTAAAGGCTATATGTAGTGAGTATAGAATTCACAATGCAGATATTACTCTCCGGTATGATGCCACTGCAGATGACCTTATAGATGTCATTGAGGGCAGCAGAGTATATATGCCTTGTATCTATGCTGTGAACAAGATTGATCAGATCACACTTGAAGAACTGGAGATCTTGGATAAGCTACCTCATTACTGCCCAATCAGGTAATTCATAAAATCATTGGTCATATTATCTCAATTCCTTTTCCCTTTGAACAAAAGAAAATTAAAATAATTTTATACATCCTTATGTGAAGGCACTTAGAGGTTATCATTTCTTGTTTATCAGCAATTTTTAAGGATTGTATTTTGGAGCATTCTTGCAATATTTGCACATAGCTAAAGCTACTGGCGGTTTTGCTGTACTGTTGTTTTCTTTGTTAGGGTTTTATTCCATTTTATTTGGTTCCTACTGACTATAATTTCTTTGCCAGTTTACTCTCCTTCACACTCATGCTGACAAACTCCTTATATTGTGTAAATTAGTGTTTTCATTCTTGTTTAAGTTTATGTCTTTAAAGTGATGTTAGGTGATCTCCCTTTCGCGTTGCATCTATAGTATTTTAAGGTAAAATTGTTGCACAGATTACTATATCAAGTATCTTTATCAGAGACCTATTTTTTTAGGACTATGCAAAAGAGAAGGGAGTAGAGCACTGTAACTAGCAACTGTCATGTTACCCCATTTTTACAATAATTGATTCATGAAGTTGGTTTCTTAATAAAAGTATGTGCCATTTTCTATCTGTTCTTCAGTGCACACCTGGAGTGGAACCTTGATGGTCTTCTGGACAAAATCTGGGAATATCTCAGTTTAACTCGTATCTATACTAAACCTAAAGGGATGAATCCTGATTATGAAGACCCTGTAATATTATCGTCGAAGCGGAGGACAGTTGAGGACTTCTGCAATCGCATTCACAAGGACATGCTTAAACAGTTTAAGTAGTGAGTACCTTCTCTTCTCCTAAAACATAATATCTTTAGCTTTATTCCTTCATAATGTAAAGGGATTTTTCCATTGTGTTAATGAGTAAATTAAATTGACTTTCAACTAGAAGTTCTGAATTCTAGTTAGTTCTATTGCATTTCATTAACATATATGAAGCACTCGTTAATAAACTCACAATTGATTTTTAGTTTGATGAATAAACTGGGGTAATGGCATTTATTAATTGAAGAAAAACGTTGAATAAATAAATCCACCTTGCTTAAAGCCCTCCAAATAATTGTTATTTTTTTACATTCATTAAATGCTGACGTTTACCAAATGACACAGTGCGCTGGTCTGGGGCTCAAGTGCGAAACACAAGCCTCAAAGAGTTGGCAAGGTTGGTACTGTACTCGATTAATTATTTTTTGCTGCATTCTCTTTTCTCCTTCCGTGTTTCTTCTACTTTCTTTCTTCTCATTGGTGAAGATGCTTACCTACTAAGTGGAATATGTTGTTACGTCACAGGAGCATGAACTCGAAGATGAAGATGTGGTTCAGATTATCAAGAAAGTATAATTTGTTAAATCAGTAGGAAACCAGGATGACATTTGTGAAAGTCGATCAGAATGCGTGCACTCTCTTTAGATTATTAGAGGATGTTCTGAACAGAATCAAAGTTCTCTTCGTGAGACTTTCTCTAGGATATCATTAGATTATTACATTCTTTTTACTTGTCTTTTTAGGTTCGGGTGAGGTAGAGTACATTAAAGTTGAATCCGTTGTTAAATCATAAGTTTTTTTTTTAGGGGACATCATCTACGGAAGTTTTGGAAATGATGTATCTTGAGGGATTACCCGTGTCAAACAAATAATGGGTAGAATAATTTGGTGTGTACTTGTAAACATTGAGAGGGTTTGCTGAATGGATATATATTATTCAGGTGGATGTGTCACTTTGTCCATGCATGCTGCTGGACATTTTTAACAAAATGATAGCATCAGTTTGGTACAGTACTTACGTAATTTGTTTTTAAATTTATCTAAAATGTACTGATAGTGAAAATGTTTTTTGTGACATTGCCTTTTATATATATAAATATTTATAAAAAGTTTCATTAAGTTTAAAAACTTATATTTACAGTAATTTTTACAAGTATATTTAAATTATACTTTTTTATACAAAATCGCATTGTTGGTGCTTCTCCTCTATCGCTGTTTCATTAGAGCCGAAGCTTCACGAAATAACAACCTCTACCCTATCTCAACTTTTGGCGACAAGGCTCGATTTGGAGCCTAAAGGGATAATTTTGTGTTGTACTTCAGCGAGATGTCACTTCTTCATTATTATCCTTCACCAAAAAAAAAAAACTTGTTCAATGCCACCAGCCGAAGTATTCAAGATTAGTTAACGAAAATAAATGTATAATATTTTTATCATGTATATTTTGTCAAATTATTTACCATTTAAAAAAAAAATTGAATTACCCCTTGATTTCCGTCCACCACTCATTTACTCTCACTCCTCTCCAAACGAAACCCTCTTTCCTCTCCTCATCACTTTTGCTTGCCTTTTAAAAGCCTCGGGTCGTTGTCACAGTCGTCAAGTCACGTCCTCTTCGAATTACACGAGTTTGATTTTTTTTTTTTTATGTTTTTATAATGTCAAAATTGTGTTTTTACTATATATATCATATACAACGAAAATGTATTAGGATATATTTTTTTAGGATAATTTTAGGTTATGGCAGTATTTAGTTGGACAGTAGTAATAGAATGTCAGGCTAGCACCATACTTAGGTTAAGATAATATTTAGACAGCAATAGATTGAGAACAGTATTTAGGGCAGGGAAATTTTATGTTTCGACAATATTTATGTTAGAATAATACTTATATTACGACTACGTTTTGTGAAGAAAATATTTATTTTATAACAGCATTTACTTGACAATAATATTTAGTTTATGACAATAACAATATAATTAGTTTAAGTTAATTTGCAATTTAGAAGAATATTTATTTTTGTATAATATTTATTTAATGCATTTACGTCACGCATTAATTAATCTTAACTACACATGGTTGGCCTTTCAGGTATAATATGCCCACATACGATAATTGGTGGTTATAGAGTCATGAAAATAAAGGCTACGATGTTTTGCCCATCCACTAGGAATGACTTTAAAATTCAATGATTATAAGACTTCGTAACATACACTTTTAAGGTTTTCCATTTTTTCAAGACAAATCCGAAGAAGGAAAGTAACACAATTCTCTATTTGTTGTTCGAGTTCCGTTCAACAGAAAAATTGAGTAAAAAAAAAACGGAGAGAAAAAATTACATTATCAAGGCTCCGTCATATAGTGAGAAGTAATCAATATAAAAAAAATTAATAATAATTTTCTTTATTTGATAAAAGAATAATTAAAAATTTCACTTTTTACAATAATAAATAATATATTTTACTTTTTCAATAGAAACACATTATTTTATAAAATTATCTTTTTATTGATAAATATCTTAACAATCTAAAAATAATCATTTTTATTCACTTTTTTTTTTACTATCCTTTTGAAAGAAGTATATCTTTTATTTTATTGCATTGAACTGAAAAAAATCGAAGCAAAACTAAGGTGATTGAGCTGAATGTACGTGGTCCTCCAACATGTAATAAATGAATGCCAGAGAAACGAAACCAACCATGCAGAATAACAGTAAACATGATTCATCTTTGTAATAAAATTGGATGGAAAGTGATTACAGATTACTCCTGGAGCCGGCTAAATGAACTGCTACTAAAACTGAGAAGGAAATAGCTGAAGACCATTACAATGTCAACAACATACTACTATCCTGGATTAATTCATCATCATATTTTGGAGCTGGTGGTACAGGTTCAAGAGTACTGAGGAGCGCCATTTACATGTTTACCATCTTTACCTCTAATTAGATACACAAATCTCAAGCTGCAACGCAAGTAATAATATAGAATCACCTAGTGAAGATTAGGGCTTAAAGGAAGGGTTTATTTTCCTAAATCAAAAACTAGCGCGAAGTAACTATGACCAAGGGCAAAACCATACTTGTCCCTGTTCATGGCCAGAGGCAGACAAGAAATGGTTATAGATTCCCAGCAGCATCAAGCTTTTACGCAACAGTTGAAGTAGCTCAGGAAGCTCCTCCTTGTCTGTCAAAAAAAATCAAAGATGCAATATTAGACACCATATATCGTTGCCCAATATTTTGAGTATATACGGAACGAATATAACCTAGAAGTTCAACTATATTTTTTAAATCAATAAACAATCACCATATTTTATAGCCCTCCTACCAATGAAATGAATGCAACTACCCCAAACATTCATCCATGTGCAGCAACTTGAATTGCGTGTTGCCTCAGCAAATAGAATATATCTACACAGATATAAATATTAATATTTCCATCCTTTTCAACCTAACCACCGCCCACTCAAATTAGTGCAAAGCATTGAAAGATTATCTCGGGTCACAATATATCCCTTTTTCCTCTGGGTTGAAAAATATTTGTATAAGCTTCTGGTACTACTTTCACTGAAGAAACAGATGGATTGCTACGTGAATTTGTCATTAACCGGCAGGCCTTAGTGAGCTTTGTTGTTTTTTTATGTTGCTAGAACCTCCTTGGCAAGGGGTGTCATGTCGTGTTGTATTTGTCTTTGTTTACCACTTTTCTTTGATAAAAACTTTCCACTTCATTATTCTTCTCCCTTTATCTCTATTCTCTTTAAATCAAGATCAATAGTATACAGTCCGGTTTCTAGAAACGTTGAACACTAGAGATTTATGTGTTTTATATGCCTAATAAATTATTTAGTTCATTGAATTCTTTGTTTGGCATCCTTTCCTTCAAATATATTTTTGTATTGAAGGGGCAGACAGACGATTGAAATGTCAAGATTAATTCCTTATTTGTGTTTAATCCAACCCGAAGAAGATTTGAGGCTAGGTTTTTTTAACACTGATTAAAGAAAAAAATAATTACCAGGAAAATAGATGAATGAAATAAAATAGATATTAGTATAGAAGACTTTGAAAGGAAGAGTAATGAAAAGTTTGATAAGGTCTCACTACCAACTCACGTGGCAATTAAAATTCGTTTTAATTCAGAACGTAATTTGATCAATGCCTTGGTTGACAAAAACTGCTGATTAGTGTGTTTAAAACTGTTTCTTATTTCGAATATGCTTACTGCACCTATTAAGTAAAGGATGCATGACACGGTCATTTCCTCAGCTGTTAATTGTTGCAGGAATCAGTGTGAATTATATTCTCATAATAACCACCCACCAATCCCCCGGAAAAAAAAAAATTAATTAACCTTCAGCTACTCTAGTGGGTAACACCGCTGACCACTCCACCATGGATGAATAAAAATTTTAGAATTTAAAAACTAGTAGCTAATACCGTAAAAAATTATAGCTAATAAAGTAAAGAATGATAAATCTGGGGAGGGATCTTACGGTTGGAGAGTTGGTTTGATGGTAGTGAGGGTGCTGTTGCTGGTCACTGTGGACAGTGTTTGTATTGTTAGTGGTAGAAGCAGCCATGAGTTCCTCTTCATTACCAAGACTTGCCCTTGAAATATTTGTCTTGTTTTGCTTCCTCATTTCGCGAATTTTTGAGAAATCCAGTGAGTAGTCTGGGACTTGTCCCTTCTGTTCCCAGTCCCCAAACTGTGGAACTGATAACCAAGGAGCATTTTTCTACAGTGAAAAGATTTATAGATTAGAAGGTTGATCACTATAGCAAAACTATCTTTTTTTCATAATTACAATAATAATAATAATAATAAATTATGATACATTGGAGCAGTTTTACAAACACCAATTCAAAGCAGCAATCTCACAGCTGCACTAAAATTATTTCCGTTAGAAAGAATTTACAAGATCGAAAAATAAATAAATAAAGAAACGCGTTATATTAGTAAAGAGACAAATAACGAAAAGTATAACAAATAGGTAGTTCAACGGCTGCTACAAAAATTCAAAACCCCCTAGTCCTCTTCCATCTCATAATCCATTAGCTTCAGAAAGGGATTTACGATTACTTGTGCTACTGCAACACTAATGTTATCATATAAAACTTGAAACACAAAACAAATCGATAAACCAAATAAAAACAGAGCTTGAAGCGAAAGGTTATTCTCATTTATCATCATACTCGCGTATATTCATGAAGCACAACAAAACTTCCAACAGCACAAGCAAGAGAAACGACACATAAAACCAAGCCAAAGTACGCATAGGTTTCTCAACGACCGAAACAAATTAAAAATCGAACAAGATGAAACTAAGATTTTCAGGTCGAAGCTTGCGATTCTCTGGGAGCAAAATTGCAACGAAACCAAGCACATAGAAACATCGATTGCGAGCAACCACTAGAATCGTTCATTCCGTTTGATTATTTTGTTTTCTCCCTGTCTTTCTAAGCCGCCAAACACAACATGGCTTAGAGCCAAACGCATGCGTTTAGAGAGAGATAACAGAACTTACCTCCTTACTTTGCTCCATGAGAGTGATTTCAGATCTTGAATTGAGAGAGAGAGAAAGAGAAAGAGTTTGAGAAATGTGACACAGCCTTTGCCTGCGAAATGAAATGATAGATGAGCGTAGCTGTTTAGGCATGTATGTCCTCAATTTATACACCACAAAGAAAAATAATAATCAAATAATAACATATTTTCAAGTTCATAATTTTCTTAAAAAACACACGTTTACCTTTCATAGTGTTTACCAATTATGATAAAATGAAATAAGAAAAGAAAAAATATTGACAAAATTTATATTTATTTAATTAAATTAAAAAAATTGACACATTCAATATATTAAAGTATATATACACCAAATATTTTTATTTTATTTTATTTATTTTTGATTTAATTTAATGTACCTTCTTTCCGTGTTGAATCACCCGCCACTTGCTTTCGGTTTTCTAGCTGTCTCCCCCCACAATATATTCTCCCCCATTTGGAACCCACAAACTCACAACCACACTTATACTTTATTTTTATGCAATTTTTATTTATGACCATTTTAATTTCAGAATAATTCTAATTTTTCAATTACTTCCTCTACTTGCCAAATATAAAAAATTATTTGATATTTTCTATCATTTAAAGATATTGAATTAAAAATAAATGAACAATAAAGTCGTGCCTCGACCATGACAGATAATAAAAGGGTGCAATACTTTTTCCAAAAAAAAAAAAGTTAACTTAAAAGGAACAAAGGAACAATCATTGCCTAAACAAGCACTTAACGGAATTATAGTGTAAAGAACATTAATTATTAGGTACATTTTTTTCCTTTCAACTTTTTTATGTTTAATTATTTGTACTAGGAAGTTGCCAATTATTATGTTAACGATGAAAATAGTTAAACAATTTTGGGTACCGATAAACTATATTATGAAGAAAATAGGAGTATCATTTTAAAAAATATATAGTTTTGTTTATTTGCTATTTAAAATTTTGAAAATAAATTGACTTTTTTATTAATAGAATAATAGCGTGTGAAATCACAAAATAGTAAATAAGAAATATATACTAAAATTTATTAAAAATAAATAACATAAAAATATTACTCTTTTTTATATAGGAAAAAAAAAATACTTATTTGAACTTTGTTATTCTATTATTTTTTTATGTTTTAAATTATATTTTGTGTTACTGTGCAAGTCATTTCAAATCCATCTAGTTTTTAAAGTTAACAAAAAAAAATTAAGATGGTTAACATGTATTGATATGGTGTTGAAATGAAATCGATGTGTTATTATTTATGTGATAGTCTCTATATTAGCATTTTTTTTCTCTACAACTATACAAAATTTATCTCTTATTACTTAATACTTCTACACTAAAATAATATTCACGTTATTTCTTATACAAGTACTTTTTATATTATTTTTTATTTATTATTAAAAAAAAAACTTAACCTCACAGAAAAAAGGAGGAGGAGGATAAGTGTTAATAGAAACTCACAGAAAGACTTCACCTCAGGTTTCTTATTGGGCTGTTAGTTTAGCCCATAATAGTTGGGCTGAGAAAAAAATACCCACCATGATATGGACCCCCAATAATGAAAACAAAAAAATGGTCAGAAATTTTGGTTGTTTGCGGTGGTGGACGTGGACTAAGGAGAACGATGAGAATCACACAGCGTGACACGCGTCACAAAAAGAGAGGGCCGTCTTGCGCTACTCTGCACCACACACAACCCACGTTCTACCAGGATCCTTATCTATCTGAAATCTCATTTCCGATTTTTCCATCTCTCTTTATGGTTCTGACCACAATAAATTCTCAATCAAAATTTATTCAGCCTTTTTAGAAAAATAAGATTAAACTAATTATATATATATATATATATATATATATATATATATATATAATAAGCTATTTTTCTCGTCATTTTTTTATGCCAGACGAATGTACAAAACAAAAGACACTGAAGGAACCGCAAACATTTTCAACAGCGCGCAAAACCGGTTTATGGGTTGAAATTTGGTTAAGCATTTGTGGGGACGAGAACTCACACCATAGCTGTTCTCACTCCTCAGTTCCGATTCTCTGAATTTTCATATCTAATCAAAATGGACTTGGCTGCGAAGCTTCATCACTTAGACCTCACCGGCGCAGTCATTTTGGATGCGCGAAAGCCCTCCGTGCTACGCCACCTTCCGCCACGCGTCAACACCAGAGCCAACATCAACAACACTAACGTCAATATCAGTCTAATTTACACCAACCGGTTCTCGAGCCCATTGCGGCCCAATTCCGCTTCTTCATCGGGCCTAACAACCGTAACCGTCGACGACGACATCGAGTCGCTCTTCTCCGAAACCTCCTCGGTGGACCCGCGGCGCGTGCGGAAGCTGCAGAGTAGCGGCGCGTCGGGCGTGTCGTCGGGGGTGAAGCTGGAAAACGTGGGGAAGGCATATAAGGGCGCGACGGTGTTGAAGGACGTGAGTTGGGAGGTGAAGAAGGGGGAGAAGGTGGGTTTGGTTGGCGTGAACGGCGCCGGCAAGACGACGCAGATGAGGATTATCGCAGGATTGGAGGAGCCGGATTACGGGAACGTGATAAAGGCGAAGCCGAACATGAAAATCGCGTTTCTGAATCAGGAGTTCGAGGTGTCGCTGAGCAGGACGGTGAGGGAGGAGTACATGAGCGCGTTCAAGGAGGAAATGGAGGTGGCGGGGAAGTTGGAGAGGGTGCAGAAGGCGCTCGAGGGTGCTGTCAACGATTTGGAATTGATGGGAAGGCTTTTGGATGAGTTTGATTTGCTTCAGCGGAGGGCTCAAGCTGTGGACCTTGATGAGGTTGATGCGAAAATAAATAAGTTGGTGCCTGAACTTGGCTTTGCTCCTGAGGATTCCGATAGGTTGGTTGCGTCTTTCAGTGGAGGCTGGCAGATGAGAATGTGTCTTGGAAAGATTCTACTTCAGGTACGTTTGTATTCACGTTGTATTGTTCAGAATCCCGCTGCAATGTTAATGTAAATTTATGTAGCTTGTTTGGTTTTAGGAAGTAACTCTGGTCCTGAATTGATTGAGCTGAAGAAACTCTAACTAGCTTTAGAGTTGGATAAAAAAATTTGCAGTAGATTTTCTGCTAACTTATTTTTAGAATGAAAACATTTATAAATCATGTCACTTCACACTCAAATATAAACCAAAATGAATTTTACAAATGCTTACCCAGTGGTTTGATGTCGCAAAACATTGGATCCATGTTAAGCTGAAAGTTACTATTTTTATTTTTTAAGAATGAAAAATCCAAACACATCACAGTAATTCAAAATCAAATTTTCAAATTTTTACCAACATGTCCACTAAGCTATAGTGCATTATTAGTTTGTTGTATCAAATCATTGGATTCATGGTAAGCTGAAAGCTACTGTCTGTAGCTTTTGCGTGTTTTTCGGTTTGACCTGAATAATTGAGAATACATCATACATAATGTTAAAATCGCCAATTTAAATACATTGATATTTCACATGTTTCTCTTTTTGTCTAGGTTATGTGTATAATTTCACCTTGACACACACTTCCTTGTCTAGAAAGGAATAATTCAATTACCTGGGTGATTAAATGTCTCATTGGCTACACTGTTTTGTATTGTAGATAATGTGGTTTGAGTGTTACAAGTGTTCTTGATAAGAATGGGAATCTGTGTTTGTTTGCAGGATCCTGATTTGTTGCTGTTAGATGAGCCCACAAATCACCTTGATCTTGACACCATTGAGTGGCTTGAGGAGTATCTTAAACAGCAGGATGTGCCGATGGTTATCATTTCCCATGACCGAGCTTTCCTTGACCAACTGTGCACAAAGATTGTGGAAACTGACATGGGTGTGTCAAGGACATTTGAGGGAAATTATTCGCAGTATATAATATCAAAAGCAACATGGATTGAAGCACAGTATGCTGCTTGGGAGAAGCAGCAGAAAGAAATTGAGCAGACAAGAGACTTGATTAGTAGATTAGGAGCTGGAGCAAATTCTGGCCGTGCTTCCTCTGCTGAGAAGGTATATGTCAATAATCTATTTTTCTAATAGCTTAAAAGGTTGTTTATGAACGGTTTTATATTTAACATGTCCTCCATTGTAGAGTTCTTTGGGCTTGAATTATACAAGTCCACCATACCTTGTACTATAATTCATTACTTTATTATTTAGAGGAATAAGAGTGGCATGTCAAAAATCGACTCTCCCAAAAGCTTAAGATAGTGGCTGAGAGTTCATAAATGTTTTTATTCTAACTAGCTATAAGCAACATTAAATAATAGCCAGTTAAGATGACTTATAAACACAATTTTTGTGTTAATTACTTAGATTAGTTGCTTTGCATCCTTCAACTTCAAATATTTTAATGTTAGGTTGTTCTTCATTTATTTGCTTAAAAGAATTTCCTTTCTTTTTACATGGCAACAGAAGCTGGAGAGACTTCAGGAAGAGGAACTGGTGGAGAAGCCATTTGAACGGAAACAAATGAAAATCAGGTTCCCTGAGCGCGGAAGGAGTGGAAGATCTGTTGTAACGATTAGGAACTTGGAATTTGGCTTTGAGGATAAGGTGAGATATCAAGATATCATTATTGAAAATCTTAACATTAAATTGTTGACTGTCTTTATGGCATAGTTATATGGTATCAACTGATCATGCTTTTCTGTGCCAGCCACTTTTCAAAAAGGCAAATCTTACAATTGAAAGGGGAGAAAAAATTGCCATTATTGGTCCAAATGGATGTGGCAAGAGTTCTTTACTGAAATTGATTATGGGTTTGGAAAAGCCAACTGGGGGTGAAGTTTTGCTTGGGGAGCATAATGTGTTACCCAACTATTTTGAGCAGAATCAGGTGTGCCACTTTAATCAAGGAATGCTAATATCAGTTCCAGTTCTTCATGTCGAAATTTGTGTTGTTAATAAATTTTTAGTGCTGACTTCGTTTGTTTAACAGGCTGAAGCACTTGATCTGGACAAGACAGTGCTTGAGACAGTAGAGGAAGCTGCAGAGGACTGGAGGATTGATGATATTAAAGGACTTCTTGGGCGTTGTAATTTTAAATCTGATATGCTTGACCGGAAAGTTTCACTATTGAGTGGTGGTGAGAAGGTAAATTCAAGATTTGTCATCCTTTTCAGTTGATATTTATTTAGGATTTCTGAGCAATGTAACATTCAAATTTCAACTCAATCCTATGATTGCATGGTTCAATTTTCGGAATTAAGTTTATTATTCATATTAGTTAACTAAGAATTACTCCATTGCCGGCAGATTTGAGTGACTTTTCTGTCAAATATGGGACATTTTGAAAATCTTGTTCTAGATGCTTGAACTAATATTGCTTGAGTAAGAGCTTTGAGGTGCTTACCTTTAAAGAAATATATGAATCAAGAAGAACTGAATTTGCTAAATGATATTAAGACATATGCTTTCAACGTCAACATTAAGAGGTGATTCCCCACTCGCTAAATGTATTTAGTAATCGCAGGTGAAATGGACTGTAGCATCAAGAATAGTATATGCATGAATTATTCTAATTCTTGTTGGTCCTGATTTGTCCTGGCATATATGATTTTGTAATTTGCTTGTTGCATTGCAATGTTTCTACTCTTTCTCACTCTTTGCATATGGTGATGCAAAATTATTTGGATTTATCTTGTCTAATGTTTTGCTAGGCACGACTGGCTTTTTGCAAATTCATGGTAAAACCATCAACTCTGCTTGTCTTGGATGAACCAACCAATCACTTGGATATACCTTCTAAGGAAATGCTTGAGGTATGACAATTTGTCGTGTGCTTTCCTTATAAAAAGTTTACTGTCACGTATCAGCCTAATGATATTTAATTCTTTTCACAGGAAGCAATAAATGAATACGAGGGCACTGTTATCACAGTATCTCATGACAGATACTTCATAAAGCAAATAGTGAACAGGGTGATAGAAATTAAAGATGGCACTATACAGGATTATGCAGGTGATTACAATGTAAGCTACTGGATCCCTTCTCTACCCATTCGCCTGCTTACTGAGTGTAATAGTAGACAGTTTATTTTGTTTTAAAATTTAATATTGGTGTTAGTTAAAATGGGTTAACTTTATTCATGATACAGTCGGTCCTAGGAATTCATTGATCATCAGTACAATGTGTTTTTCAGTTGTATTAATTTTTTTAAAAAAAGTTATATTTGAATCATTGACAGTGGTTTGGAGGTTATATATTCTCTAAGATGCTTAGGACGATTTTGGATACCTAACTGATCCTCATTTCTATCATGGTATCCCTTGGTTGGTCTTGACTTCTATAACATGTTATTCCTGTTGCCCCGTATTCGATTATCTTGTTCATGTTTAGTCTCATCTCATCATATCATATCTTAAATTAGGGTAAAATTGTAAAACACGTTTTCCTCATATTTTTTCACTTCATTTTGGATCCTCAAAATTATTCTCATTTAGTCATTTCAGTCCTTCCTGCATGTATTCTATTCCAATTTGATTTCTCAGTGAGGGACTTGACATTTTCACTAACTTACCAGGGTTTTAAATTGACAAATTGTCAAAAAGTAAAATAATATAATGAAGCAAACAGCCTTCTTGATCCTTTTCTCGTGCTATGGTAGTCCTTCTCTACTACGTCGGAACCAAAATGGAAGTAAGATATATGTGATGGACCAAAAAATGATACTGGGAATACATCTATCCTGGATTAAAATAAAAAGAATAACTCTGACATTGGGTTTGAGAGGGTCCAAATAGTGTTTTCTTTTATTCTTAATTCAAATTTAATTTCATATAATATTACTATACGGTAACTGCGTGTTGGCTTATTATACAGCTCCTTTAAATCTTCTTATATTGTATGGCTCATTATTGGTTTTGGCATGTTTGAATCTCAAAAAATTGCAGTATTATTTGGAGAAGAATCTTGATGCGAGGGAAAGAGAACTTGAACGCGAGGCAGAACTTGATAGCAAAGCTCCTAAAGTGAAAGCCAAATCCAAGATGTCCAAGGTGAACTTTGTTAGTTAAACACTTTAAATCCCTGAGATGGGGTGGTTACTGCCAGTATTGCAGAACTTTTTGTAAATTCTTTTTTTTTTTTTTTTTTGCAATAATAGGCTGAGAAAGATGCAAGAAAGAAGCAAAAGATGCAGGCCTTCCAGGCAGCAAAACAGAAGTCAAAAGGTGTGAAAAATGCGAAGAGATGGAATTGAGTGAAGCATTCCAATGTTAAGAGTAATTTAGCAGAAGGTGATGTAGCATATTTGGGTTAGCTACACAGCCTTTGTATATTCATGTATCAATTGACTAACTCATTTACGGAAAAATATAGAAAGTTGATTACCCCATTCAATCCCATGTGTGTTTCTCCACTTCGCTACCAAGATATCATTTTTTTTTTGCGCACTGGTATATATTTGGAATAACATTTTTAGAGCAAATCCTGCACTGTGACAAATTATTTCTGCTTAATCCGGAATTTGTTTTTCCATAATCCAAAAGTCACTTAATTTGGAATGATATTTTTTAAATTTCATGTTAGAAACTGTCCATTTTTAAGCTTAAAAATATCAGCTATCCCCCCTTCACTGGTGGTTTGTTTTAGGCTTTAGCTTCTTCCAATCCATTAATTTCTTAATCCACCTCTTATTCATTCTTTTAGAATGAAATTTTGGGAATATATATTTTTTATTATTGGAAAGTCCATTCCTGAGAGATGATACAAGAAATATAAGAATAAATACATTTGGTTATTAGGTTAAATTATGCTTCATACATGAGTTTTCTTTAAAATAATTAAAAATATTAAGAAAATACGTTCTTACGAAATATGGCAATACAATAAAATCATTTATGTATAATTTTAAAGTTGTTGTCATAAAAATTGGAAATTTTATTATATAGAACAAGTGAAAATATATTTACTATATATTTTTATATTATTAATTTTTAAAATATATTTTTTTAATTTTACTTTTTTATGTTTTTTATATGAATTACGTTTTTTTCTTTTTACTTTTAACTTTTTTCTATAATAGTATAAATAATATTATTTTTAATGATGAGAAAAAATATATATATAAAATAAGAAATTCCTTAAAAAGAAATTCTCATTATATAACATAATAGAAAATCTGAAAATTTTAAAGTAAGATCATTTTATCCTTCTCCACAGACTTAAGATTTTTAACGTGCTAGATTTTATAATTTTTGTGTAGTAAATATAATATTTTCGGTCTTAAATTTCTTTATCATAATATTTAAACAAATATTATATATATTTTTATATAGTATTAGTATTTTAAAAATTAAAATTAAAATATAAATGCTTTTATATTTTTTTATTCGGAATTTATCTTAAAAAATAAATTTATTTTATTTTAATAAATATATTTTAAAAAAAATATTAATAAAATAATTAAGAATATTCAGATAAAAGATTTTACATAAGATAAATTTTATTTAATTATTTTATATTTTTTTGTTAAATAAATTTGCTGGTAACATTCTAAGATCTAACAGTTATTACATTCTCACGTAATACTTGGCATGATCTTAATATCTAAATTCTGATAATTTAAAAAAATATATATTATAGCCTAACAAACCCAGACTAGGTTTGGCTAAACCCTAGTGAAGCTCGGTAAAACCACTTCTGGTTGTGAGGAAGAAGAAAACAACATTGGCAGAAGAAGAAGAAGATGGAACCAACTTTGCTAGGCATGCCGGGTCCATGGGCCGAGGATTATCGCGAGCCATCTGATCCCTATACAACTAAAATTGGAGGACTCCCTGTACACCACAGACCCTTCTCTTTTCTTCAACCACACACAATTTTCAAACACTGAATTCTTATTAGGTTTTCGATTCTGTCAAATTGGTTTTAAAATCAGTGTTTTTCGTTGAAGTAATTTTAGCATCACTGACAGGACTGGCCCCTTCCCATAAGTCCCGATTTGCTACGCTGTGCCGCGTGCGGCGGCCAACTCTGCCTGGTGGCGCAGGTTTACGCTCCCCTTTCTCAACACCGCGCCCTCTTCGTTCTTGGTTGCGTATCGCCCAATTGCGGAACCGCTTGGCGCGTTCTTCGAGTTCAGAACATTGCTGACGTGGACACTTCTCAACCGAAAGAACCTGCGCCGAATGGTGAAATTCTATGTGCCAATGTGTCGGATGACGAAGACGGAATTGACATGGATTTCGAACAACTCGGTAAGGCTCTCTTTGAAGCTGGGACTGCGGCTTCCAACTCCAAGCGCAAGAAGCCGAGGAAAAAACGACAGAACAAGCTCCCTTCATCTTCTCCACAACCAAAAGCAACAGCTTTAGTTCAAAATGACGTGCCTGGTAATTGTTTGTGTTATTGCTAGTTGCTAGTTAGCGCAATTCTAATGTTTGGGTGGTTGTTTTCAGTGGTGCCCTGTTTTTATATATACCCAAAAGAGGAGTCCTCCTCTTGGGATCTTCGTCTTGTATGTTCTAGCTACTCGACACTTTCCATTAAGGAGAATCGAAGTGATGCCGAGGATCCTTCAGAACCGGATGAAACCTGGGAAAAGGAAGATTATGAGTATGATAAAGCTTTGACAGCTGATAGAACTTACCTCAAGTTCAAGAAACGATTGGATGCATATCCTGAACAATGTTTTAGGTATGTAACAAATTATCATTTGGAGTAACTATGGTGTGAAATGTACTGCGCCCCCCAACTTGTTGCTTATTTGATCTCGATCCTTGATTTAGTTTGAATTACTAATGGGTTGGAATAGTTGGTTCACTGTCTTTATTGAAGATAAAGTTGAATAGTATTTTAATTGGAGTGTGTGATTCTGATGTGGCATGTTAAGTATTGGTTGCAGAATCATTTACCACAGATACGTATAGTTTCTCGCAGTCATTGTAAATTTGTAATGATTGGGAGTTGCCACAGCTGTAGCTCGGCTTGGTTTTATGACCATGCAATAATAAATATACAAACCAACTGAGTCGAGGAAGCTGGAGAACGTTTGGTTTTCCATCCATTTTTTATGTCTTCCTTTAATGAGAGGGGGAAGCATATCCTAAGGTTATTAACTATGTTGTTGGTCGTGCGTTTGAGCTATTATATTTATTTTTCGTAGCATCAAATCTTTGATAGTTTGTTTTTTTCTCTGCTCTAATTCCTCCCCTTCCTCTTTTTCACTCCCCTCTTATTTTTGGGGCCTAATAGCTTTCTTACCGTTTCCTTGTGTAGATATTCGTATGGTGGGAAGCCGATTTTAGCTGCAGTCAATGAAATAAACCCTGGCAACTGTAGACTCTGTGGCAGACCAAGGCAATTCGAGATGCAGCTGATGCCTCCATTATTATACTTTCTTCAGGAAGCTCTTGGTGACCGAAGACATCTGGTGGAAAAGTGGGATTGGATGACCCTCATTGTATATACTTGTTCAGAGGTTTGTATTCTTCCATTGCCAACTGATCTAGATAACAATTCCTTACCCATTTATAAGGATGATAATAATAATAATAATAAGAAAGGCTTTCCTCGGTGATAAAGCTGTTAAATGGAAATTGTATCTTTAGTGTGTACCAGGCTAGTTCTGTCAGCAAAATGCTCACATGCAGCCATTAACCTCAATAGTTGAAACCCCCACATATTAGACTTACCCTTCACATTCTCTAATTTTAATTCAAGTATCTCATGTTGTTACATTGAATGGGAGTATAGTTGTCTTTGTTTTGTCTGAATAATGTACAGCCAGTGTTATCAATGGCGGAAGGCCAAAATTCCTCCATCTAAACACACCATTGTGGCCAATGGCATTGCTATACTGAACCTCTCTTAACAAATTACTTGTGGTAGTTAGCAAAGAATCTTCCATGGCAACCATGATGCTGCCAATTAACAACAATGTGTACAGCTGTAGAGGGTTTTATTTCTTAGAGATTTGTTCTTTATTTCATGGAATGGAAGGATGTAGGATTAAATCTTTTAGAGAATAATATAGATCTTGTGAACCTGTCTTTTTGGGTCTATTATGTTCTTATTTATGCTTATCTCAGAGTTGCTCCGTAGAGATTGAACAAGCAAAGTCCAATATGAGATGGATTGTGGCAGAGGAGGCAGTTGTAGCTCAATGTGAGGAATCCATTCCCGTTCAGCTTGGCTATTTCTCATGATCACTGGCGTTGGTGTAAACAATGCAATATATTTCATGATTAGAGAAAATCATGACTTTTTTCAGAACCAATATATAATTTTGAAGTGTTGAGAAAGTTATAGGTGGATTAAGAAAAGGAATTTGAGGAGTGTGACAATAAAGATTTGGTGAGTTGAATTTGTGTCTGGTGTACCCATCTTGATATTCTGGCCTCCTACACTAAGCACTCCTGGCTTGAGCTCGAGAACAGCAAGATGGATGTTGCATTCCCTGCCTTCTCCAGTCTTTTAAACAAATCTATGTTCGTTTGTTTATAATTTTTAAGCATGGCGTCCCTCGGCTCTCAAATTAACTTTTTGTGAATTCAGTTTCTGATTCATTTGAATTTGTAAATGCTAATTTTCAGTCACGGGTATGTAGTCCATATCATAGCTGTTGACAGCAGCATTTAATTAACTGTTGCTAGTGACGAATTTCTAATGAAATTCTTACACGACAGTTTGTTTTAAAATCGAATTTGTTGCAGATAAGTGATTCTTTTAAGAGTTTGCAGCCAGAAAAAAGGTACATAATATGTGCTTTTAACTGCTATCATTTTGGTTGTTCACATGTATTTTCTTCTAGAAGTAATTTATTTTAGGTAACACTATGAGTCACTTTTCCAACAAAGATTTGGATACTGACTAGCCGTTTGTTTGGCCCTATTCTTATTGTTTAATTCCTGAAATGTGGACATGTGTGAAGATCTCTCAATTTTTATCAGCACTGGCATCTTAATTGTTTTTCAAATATGGAAATAAACTCGTGAAATGTTACGTGATTTATAAGGGAGAAATGTGTACTTAATGTCACGTAAATATTTTCCACAGTTGGACTCCTCTTTAAATTAGGACAAAACCGGGTATCCTTTATTTTGTTGATGATGCTGCTTCTATTCATGATTTGTTCTAAATTACTTAAAAACATATGTATTTTTAGAATGTTTATAATTTTTTTATTCAGAATATGTTGCAACAAGACACGTGTTCAATAATAAAAATATAAAACCATCAATTAGTCATTCAAGTTGTATCTACCCGATTTCGAAAATAGGGACATGACAGAAGTGATTGAGATGTTTGTTTTGTATAAAACTGGAGTACGTATAAAATGGCAGAGTAAATGATGTAGTGGAGGAGTCGCCAATCAAGTCAAAGGTTATGAATAGAAATGAACAGAGAAGAGAAGAATGATTGTTTGCCTTTTCCCCCGTTTTTCTCTTTCTTCTAACATCATATTTATACCCCTTATGTCAATACTCAAACCTACGCAATTTTGAGCAAGTAAACTTTGTGCATGTGCTTCTCCTACGCTCGGTCTCTTGAGATCATGTGCCATGTATCCAGGATTCCTCCCTTGCTTATTAGCCTTTAATTTGGTTTCACCCCATTTTTATTCATTACAATTCATCTCCTTTTAAAAATAATCTTATTCTCGATATTGATATATCTTTATCTTTCGATATTGGATGAGACTTATTAAGACATTCTTATTGAATTAATAATTATTGACTTTATTTTTCTCTATTGAGAACAAAACGATGTTGCAGATAATTAGTGACTGAATGATAGGTGACTGCTTATTAAAAATGAATGGTAAAGGAACATAGGATTGAGTATGAGCTTTTTGTAAATTATTTTTTTAATTTAGTTTCAAGTTGTATGTTTCTCATACAATAATATCTTGGGAAGCATTTAATGGTGTGTAGATATTATAACTGAGGTTCTATACGTATTTAGTAAAGTGATTCTTATTAATCATCCGATTAAGTTTTTCTTGTTTTTTCTTTAGAAGTTTAATATTTTCCTCCAACTAATGTAGTTTAATGTTCACATCCTTAGCTCGTTCATATCTTTTGGTCTATCCAAATACAAGTTTTCTAAGAATGGTTCGTACCAAGTTCGATCATCATGGTGTATTGTGATTATTGACTTTGAGTTTTGTATTTTAAAACTAACATATGTATATCTTTAGAATTTTGCCTAGTGATTCTTTTCTCTTGGTACTTTCAAAAGTTGTTGAGTCAATTTATGAGAAATTGAGCAGAGTTTATTTGTCAAATTATTGAAGCAAGCTAATGATATTTTGGGTAGATCGTATTAACATTGAAGCGTGATTGATACCTTTGAATGTAGTAGAAAAAAAATTTACATTTAAAGGAGTCTTTGTTTAAGTACACAATACATTGACATGCGTGAGGTATGTATGTTTCTTGTGATCCAAGGTCCTAGTGTAGGAATCAATGGGAGGAGTTGTTAGGTCTTCCAAGGGAGGACTAATTAGGGAGGGACAACACTAATAAGACATGAGTCTAATCTATATATAAAATTGACACAATTTTTAACTTAAAACCTTAAAATATTAAAATATGAATATATTATTAATAAATGAATATAAAAAAATATGAAAATGGAATTGATCAAAATTATAAATATCCAAATAAATATTTTTAATGATTAGATATCAAAATCATAGATGTATATTATATTACAAAATTTTGGGAATGCTTGGAGAAACTTTGGCTACGTGGAAAGAAAATTAAAGAAAAGGGTAAGAAATGAATGAGAAATGAAATTATTGTTGGTTAAAGAAAAAGAAAATATAAAGAAAGAAAAAAATAAATAAAAGTGTGTTTGATTTTCTTAAAAACTTATAATTTTTAATGAATTAATTAATATTGAATGTTTTATTTGTATGTTTTGACAATTTCAAGACAATCAATTATTATTAATATATAATTATAATCATTATTTTATTATTATTATTATTTATTATTATTATTATTAATCTTATTTAATGTTTTTTTATAATTTATTTCTTATAATAATAATAATAATAGTAATAATAATAATAGTAATAATAATAATAATAATAATAATAATAATAATAGAAAGAATAGTAATAATAATAATAATAATAGAAAGAATAGTAATAATAATAATAATAATAATAGAAAGAATAAGAATAATAATAATAATAATAATAATAATAGTAATAATAATAATAATAATAATAATAATAGTAATAATAATAATAATAATAATAGAAAGAATAATAATAATAATAATAATAATAATAATAATAATAATAGAAAGAATAGTAATAATAATAATAATAATAATAGAAAATAATAATAATAATAATAATAATAATAATAATAATAATAATAATAATAATAATAATAATAATAAACAACGACCTTAGAAAAAAAAATCAAAGAATCATAAAAAAAATTATAAATAGCCAGTAACAAAGCTCTTAAGTTGGATCCTATACATGCTTTTCTTATATTTCACCTACTCTCTTTTTCATCCAAAATATCCAATATCGTTATTTTCTATCTCCTTCTTTCGTTTCCCCTTTTCTTTGTTTGATAACAAACACAGGAAAAATAAAATAAAACAAAAATTCAAAGATCACATATATTTGGAGGTGACGAGTTAACTACTCTGTAAAACTTTCTTTAGTTACTAGAAAGCATAGAGACAAGATCATGGCACTTGAGTCGCATTTTTATATTTTTATAATTTCTAATAAATTTATTTAATAAAACAAGATGAAAAAAATATATTGAGTTAAAAGTGATGGAACCTTGCACATAAAGAAACAATATAAGCCATAATTTATTAGTAACAAAAACCAATGTGATATCATTATCAATTAGGATAGTGTGGGTTTAATATTATTGGACCGATTATCTTTCGTTTTTGTTTTTGAAGTTTTGTTGCTACTACCTTGTTCTTACCAAGAGACATTGATTATGATGGAATATGTTTTAGGCAGGAAGGTTTTTTTGGTTGGGCTCTGTAACGGGTATGGTTTAGGGATTGCTGGTTGATATTGTTGTTTAATAGTCAAACTTTTCTGACTTCAGTATTTCTTGTACTCAATTCATCCCAATATTTATTTTTCTTTTTTTAAAATGGTAATTTTAGATTTTGAAATATATGCAAGTTATCATTTAGTATTAAAAAAGTGTAATAATTATATTCAACTATACAACTTGAAAAAAACTGGTTCCTAAATGGTATAATTTGATGTCAAAATAATCGTTAAAGAATTAAAACGGTCTTATAAAATATTTTTTATAAATTAATTCAAAAACTAAGTCTGAACTTTTATTGTTTACACTTTCAACTATCAAAATGATTATTTATCCCTTTAAAAAAAACTATCCATAATTTATAACCCAAACAGAAAATCTTCTAGTTGTATATATATTTTTACTAAGAGACAAGTAGCAAGTCTCAGATACATACGATTTGTATTAATTTAACACAAAATAATTTATAGAATAAAGACAAGTATACATTGTTTGATCCTTTTATTATGTCGAGATTAAAAAAGACATGTACTTCATGTTGGTCTTCATTGTTGATTACATGACCAGTGATTTTAATAATCATGTTGGTTTGATCTCAGTACATTTTGCTTGCCTTAAAATGATTGAATTTCAGTTTATCTTGTCCAGGTAAAAGTTGTATGCACATTTTTATTCAGACAAATTGGAATGCTATAATGTGTTATTAAAAATATGTAAGAGATTGTATTATATAGTATTTATACATAGTACTTTTAGTCACAGTCATCATCAGATATATTAACATCATATATACTGAACATAGTTACAAATATGATGCCTATCACCAGCTTATCTGGATCAATGAAGCATACATAATTAAACTCCAAAATACAAGGCTTCAATAATTAATTACACAATAATTATGATTAACTACCCAAAGCAATAATAGCCAATAACTCAGACATTCTGAGCCTTTTTCTTGCTGGCAAGTATATATATATATATATATATATATATATATATATATATATATATATATATATATATATATATATATATATATAAATATAAATGCATGCATATTGAGGAGCTAGGATGAGTTTGGAGGTGCAGAAGAGTGAAGGTTGCAATGGTTAGAATGGAGGAAAGGCATTTGGGTGTAATAGGAAGATGGGGTGTGATGATTGTGGACACCTTCGTAAGTTGTCAGAACATAGAAGGAGTCATTTCTGTCCCTTTCCACCTGTTTCTTCACATTGCATCCTTCACCTGAACACTTGTAGTAGTTCCTGCACTCATCATCAATTCTTTCAAAACCACAATCAATTATCTATAACTCAGCAAATTTTAACTATATAATTGCATTCAAATTATTTGATATTCTCTTCAAATATATATATATATATATATATATATATATATATATATATATATATATGAATTTAAACTTGTGAGTCAATTTGACTCTTAATAAATTCAAGTTTAGTTTGATTAAAAAAATTGTAAATTTTTAATTATGCGTCAAAGTGAATCTATCCTATTCAAGTAAATTGATTTTTTCTTTTGTTAATTTTTAATATTTTAATTTTTTCTATTCCAATGATTTAACAAATTAAAAATATAATATATATTTAAGTAATTTACCAAAATTTTGACTATAGGAGATCTGATTGTAAATATATATATATATATATATATATATATATATATATATTTGTTTTTTAAAATTGAATGTAATTATATATAATAAAATAATATTTTTATAATATAATAAATTTATTAGTAATTATATTTTTTTAAAGTAAAATTATTATCACTGTAAATTACAATAAAAATAACAAATATAAAATATATTCAAGAGGGTAACATGAATAATAATTAAAATAAAATAAAAATAAAATAAAAATAAAATAAAATAGTTATTATTTAGATAAATATATATTATATTTTTCAAAAATATATATTAAAAAATAATATTTATTTTTTTTAGCAAAATTGATGTTAAATCTAAAAGTTCAATCAATTTTTTTAATTTTATTCTAATTTAATTAAAATTTAATTATTTAAAAATAAAAATTTCTAAATCGATGTTCAGATGAATCAATTTCGATGGAGTCCAGTTTTCATAAATATATATATGCCATATTAACAGCCTCACAATATTTCAATAGGTTCCGTACATCAAATTACAGGTAAAAATTGTGTTTTTAAGTACCTTCTTTTTGTTCTTCTTCCTATAGATTAAAAGAGTATTGATATTTTGACCATCAAAAATTATATAATCCTTTAAATAACTTATTTTTATTAATATAATAATTTATAAAATAATTTAATAAAAATAAAATTATTATTATAATATTAAAAGAGAATTATTTATAAAAGTGATAAGGATTTGAGCAGTGAAATATCGTTTTTCTACACTAAAACATGCATAAAATAAATGAGGGAGTGCCAAAAATTTAGCAAGACTACGTCATGTACGGTCTCACAGACGCACCCGTGTAGTGTGCAATAAAGAAAGAAAGAATACTTCCTAATTGTCCTAATCTCACTCCAAAGCAAACACCATCTTGTTACTTTTGTTAATCAAAACAAACAAACCAACCCCACATAATTCTTCACCAGTTGCTTCTTACGCAGCAAAAAATGCACACATATATATCGATGCTTAATCTGGGTCCATTCATAACACTCTAATCAGGTATAGGATCATGGCCAGGACTAGTCCTTGTCCCCCTCTTTTAATTAGTATAAATGTTTATATATATATATATATATATATATATATATATATATATATATATATATATATATATATATATATATATATATATATATATATATATATATATATATATCAGCCGCCGCCACTTTCATGTCTATCTAGCTAGCTAGCTATTGGGCCCAACATCCTATCCTATTTAACAGTGCATGGCTGATATGATTCCCTCACTTCCCTCTCCATTCATGGCTACACCACATTTGTTCTTTAATTATTTCACATCCCTTCTAAATTCACCAACTTAGATCCTAACATAATCCTTAAACGTTATTAAAAGACCTGGAATTTGTATACATTATAGCATGTTCATGACACAGGAAGAAAAATCCAACGAAGCAATGGAGCATTGAGTTAACCATATGTTCCATCAGATTCGTTTTGTTGCTACTATTCCATTAATCTCATCTTCAATTTGTCTCAGAATATCAGTCCAGAAAATAAAATCATTAATTGTTTTGTTTCAGTACAAGCCTTGTTTATTGAGTAATTAAATCGATTCGCAGCAATATTGTAATTCTTCTGAGAAAAGTGTTCTTGATAGAGATAGTTATTTTGTTGTTATAATTTGTGAAATTAATTACCTTGGGTGGGGACTGTTCTTCACTGTCTTCTTTCCGTATTTCCTCCATTTATATCCATCATCCATAATCTCAAGCTGCGATCGGGTTCTAAACGTGACCCTTTGCCTCACTTCTGCTATCTTTCCCTTAATCCCATTATCTTCACACTTTCTGTCAAATTGAAACCCAAACAATATTTATTTATGTGCATACTTTAAACACATAAAATAGCATAGAAATAACACCATATACCATTTTCTTGTTTAATGAAAAAAACAACATAAAGCAAGAAAAAAAAGCACTTGCATGTTGTTGGTGGTGGTGGAGGAGGTTGCATCACCAAATCCATGACTGGCATCGCTGGAGGTTGCTTTCCCCGATGATTCAGTTTCGGTGCTTTGCGACCAGCACTCTTGATGATAATCAACAACATCTTCCAGCATGAGATAATAATCAGCTGAGATGAATTCAGAGGAGGGAGATGCTGCCATGTCGACCACAGGAGAGTGACTGTAAATAGGGTTAGGATTAGGGTTTCCAAAACAGTATTCCATGGTGGTGTGGTGAAATGTTGCAGGGAGCAAGAGACTTTGGCCTTTTACCAAAGCATACTGCCACTAGACATATGTATATATATAATATATAGTAATAATAAATGTAAAATAAATAATATTCGAATAATTATTTTATGTTTGTCGATTTTAATATGCTTTGAATGGAATTAGAAAGATAGTCCCAAACACCTTCTTGGAGGATGCAGCGAAGTTGCTTACAGAGACAAGTGTCAAGATAAGAGACGTGAAGATGACATCACTGTGATGACGTAGGAGATAGGTAGTAGGGGTTCCCTACCACTTAAATTTTCAGAATAGCTATAAATGGGACCATTTAAGACAATGATACCAAGTTATTGCTTTTTTAAGACGGTGGCTGGATGCATACTGTGGTGGAGTTATGCTATATTCCTCTTCGAAAATATATCTAAGATTTGAAATTCGTCCCACTAAATATAATAAATTTTAGTATTCAGAAAGTTACAGAACATTATATATTAAAATTTTGAGTTGAAAGTGTAATTGACTATTTTTCAATCCTCCAAAATATTTAACAATTTCTCTACATAATTTTTTATTTATTTAATGAAATATACAGTGGCTGTCCATTGATGGTGGGTCATTCTTATGCATGGCAATGGGCGGGCCGGGTTCTGTCCTGACTATTTTAATCATCTCTCTCTATCTTTATTGGTGTTAGAATTTAACTTCTTATCACCATCTCAGTTAGGTTTCGGTTCTTCGTCTCATCCCGATCTATATTATTTTTAAAAAGATAATTATATAAATTAATTTTATAATAAAAAATAAATATATAAATAAATATTTATAATTTTATAATTATTATTAATTAAATATATTTTTTAATTTATTATATTTATATTAAAATATGTATGTAAAAGAAATATTTAATCATTTTTTATTTATAATATTATTATTATTATAACATTGTATTCAAATATTTGAATATTTATAACAGTATTATAATAATACTTGTATTCAAATATTTGATTATATATATAAAAGTTAATTCATTTTTAAGTTGTCATTTAAAAATATGAAATATATAGTTTATAAGAAAATATTTAATAAGTTAATTTTTATTCAATTAGTTCGAAGTAATAAAAATTTAAATTATCAACTCCTTTAATCCTTTAAAATACAATTATTTTATTAAATAAAATTTGATATATGATAAATAAGAATAATAAGATAAAAAAATATGACATAATAAAATCTAATAAATATAAATTATAAATAAAATAATATTAGTTACTACTAAGAGTAAAATATTTAAAAAAAGATAAAGAATAAAAAAAAAATTTTGTGTTCATATCAAATTAGTTGAAAAGATTGAAAAAAAAATTGATGGAAGAGATTAAGGAAATGTGAAAAACTGAAAGGTAAGAGAAAAAATAATGTAATAAATTAATTGATATAAAAAATTAAAAAAGATAAAAAAAATTAAAAAGTGGGTAGAAGAAAAAAAATTGGTGAAATATATAAAAAAATGACCTTATATGTAATAAAAAAGAAAAAGAAATACTTTTAAAATATTAATATTTTAAAATTTAAATTTAAATATAAAGTCGGGGCGGGGACAGGATCGGGGTGGGGATTGCATTACCTATCCCCGCCCGCTCCGACTTTTTAAAACGGGAAAAACCCGAACATGTCCCCGCCCCGGTCAACTCAGGTTTTCTCTGTCAAACTCGGGGCGGAGACGGGTCGGTCCCCACGAGTACGAGTTTAATTGTCATCCCTAATCATTCTTGTTTTATCTACAATATATAATTGAGAATGGGATAATTTAGGTTGTATTTATGGTTATCTTGTATCTAACACTTTTGGTTGATTTAAAAGATGGTTTTATTATTTTTGGTTGATTTAAAAGATGATTTTATTATATTTATTTTATTTGTATATATATTAAATTTATTTGGTATTGTAATTTTGGTATTTTGTTTTATTGATGAAGTGGTGATAAATTTATATTATGTATATAATCTTATTATCTATTAATTTTTTTATGATAACATTATAATAGATGAATATAATTTTTTATTTTAGTGCGTCGATTTTATTAAATTGAATTAGATGTGAAAATCAAACTTTAAAAATATTAGGGTATTAATCATTATAAAGAATATAAAGGTGAGTAGATTGAATAAGGAATTGGGATCATATTTTGCTAAACATGTAAGTTAATTAAATAATTTTTTATTTTCTTTAGTTTTTCTCCTTTGTTTAACTATTTCGTTAAATCTCATAGTTGATGTAACTTGGACCTCGTTTCCTCGTAGATTCTTGTGGGGACATTATTTAGCTTTTTTTTTATATTAAAAATAAAAGAAAGTTGATACTTTATATATATAGTTTTCCAATCTTTCAATCTGAAAAAGTAAATCAATGATGTTCAACATTAATCAATGCATTTTAATTTTGGTCTTGTCATACTTCTAGAATAGTAGTAAAAACATAATTTTGATTTTTTTTAAGATTTACCTATTATTGTTAAAAAAAATTATGTATCTAACAAAGGATTCCTTTTATTATTTACATTATAATTATAATAAAGATATAAATGTAATGTTGGCAAGAATATATTCTAGAAAGAAACAAGAAATCAATTTAATTACACAAATACGTATATTTTGCTCTTACTTTATGTTTGTGATAAAGATCGTTTTAGCTTTCACTATATTATTCCAAGCTCAGATAACACTTTTCCTTCACTGCTGTTACATCTTTTTACAATATTTTGGTTTGGTTATAATAACTTCAAATAATTTATTAGAGGAATGCATTCTTATGTTTTGTAAATTTCCTTCTTCTTTTTTTCAAATTCTCCCACCCTTTATATTCAAAAAGTGTTCGGATTCTCACTTTATGAAAAATACTTTCACTCCTTCATTATTTATGAACAAAAACATTAACTTATATGTTTTTGTTAAATTTCAATAATGTATAAATATATAAATTTCGTTTTACAAACTTAAAAAAAAAAGGTTTAAGTAATAAATTAGATTCTGGTAGGACTGGAAGTCAAGCTCAAAGGGACAACAAATCTGAACCACTAAAGGTTCAATACATGATATAATATTATCATGAATTAATTCAAGGTGGATGTGGGCATATAACGACAACACGATCATGCAAAAGCGATCCATAGAATCTTATTTTTGGAGCTGACATGATTTCATGATTAAAAAAAAAAAATTATGTTACTGTCACAGAACCTGTAAACAGATGAGAAACTTCGCATGCTATAAAATGTAAAGTACTAGGAAATAACCTTCATCAAATTTAAAATAATAAGGGCATTGACTTTAAAAAAAAGGTTGAATGTATATCTTTTTTTTGGAAAATAATTAATGCGGTAAAACAGAAATGTATCACATCATACATAAATTTGTACACTCCTTACGATAATAACCTCTTTAATGTTCTTTTTTTTTTTTCTCATTTATCTTTGTACCTGAAACATTGTAATTATAAGATTATAACATGTTAAAATTTAAGGATCTATTTGCTAAATGAAACCGCATATTAGTAACAATACAGCAATCATATCGTATCAGTACCATCTATATAATCTCTATGTAAATGTCATACAAAACAAAGTAAATCCAATCAAAAGGGTTCCAAGAGAGTGAATTGCTCTTAGCATGTCACCACTGCTCTCAATTTCTATAGGGAATATGCAACTGCCCTTGGATGGATCACGATTCACAATAGTGGCTAATCCATTGAAATTACAAGCTTAGCCTCAACTTTTGGTCCCTTTGATTGAAAGTACTGGTTGAAAGCATATGAAGCATTGGTAGCCAGGTCTAAATTTTCGCATGAACAACCAAATCCTAAGCTTGTGCAATCAGCACCAGCACAAGCATAGTCTAGTGCACTTGGTACAAGGCTCAAGTTCTTAACATCACTGTTTAGGACACACCATTTACGTTCTTGGTACACGACACCTTTAGCAGCAATAGGCCATTTATCCTGTCCCTGACCAGAAAAATCAATAGGAAACTTAGCACTTCCATCGTAGCGAAAAATTCCCAGTGACGTTTAAAGTTTCCAGGTTCAATATTCTTCATGTCCTCATCAGAGAGAGAAAAGAGATACATCTCCATGGACCCAGGGCGAAGTGGGGTTCCTTTTTTGCTTACCATTTTCTTGAGTAGCCCTTCGTAGAACCTTTTTGCATTCTTGTTATTAGCATTTTTGTCACCATCAGTTGGCCATCCAATTTCACCAACCACGATTCTCATGTCAGGGTAACCAGCTTTTCTCAATGACCAAACAAGGGTGTCTAAATTTGCGTCATACACGTTGCTATATTGCACGTTTTTGTCTTGAACTATTCTGCCTTGACCGTCAAGGAAGGCAAATTCTTCTGGAAAATTGTCATCCTGGTAGAGACTAAGGAAAGGGTATATGTTGACAAGAAATGGTGAGTTTCTTTCGTGAAGGAAACTCAGTATTTGTTTTATATCGTCACCAATGTCACTCCGAAAATTTCCATCTGATGGCTTGCCTGAAGAAGACTCATAAACATCAGCATTTAAAGCAGTAGTAACCTTCACTGTGTCTCCAAGACCAGCCTTGTCGATGGCCAATATTTTGCATTGCTGGGAATGTGGTCTTCACATACGCACCCTTGTAATCTTTCATGAATGGTTCATTTCCAACAGATACGTATCTGCAATCATAGTATAATTATGAGAAATGAAATGAGAGTTTTCTTGAATTTTCACTAACTTGAATCTGTGCTAAGATGTTCATGATACCTTATATATGATTCCCCACAAATATCTCAGATACAATCCTGATTGAGATATGGTTACATACTAAATGTATCATGTTGTCAGAGACTAATTCATTACGCTAAGTTAAAAAGAAACACTTTCTCTCACAAAAGTAATATTTTAAAAAATTGGGAGAAGTAATTTGGCTTACCATATGATATGATGGAAAAAAGTGCATGGAACTATTGAGTCCTATGTGAAGGAAGTTAATGCTATACCTGATTTTCACGGCCCCATGATGACCATGAAGACGTTTGGTGATGTTTGCTTTCACCCAATGTTCTGCATTATGGCTACTTCCAGCAAATTTACTCAATTGATCATTAGGAATTCCCACCATGACTTCTATGTCTGTACCAGACAAAGCACTCACTGTCCAAGGATCTGCATCGAAAAGTTTAACTTTCTTGATCCCATTATCCTTCAACATATTTACCACAATGTTAAGATTCAAAGGGTGGGATGCTAATGCACCCCAATTGATGCCAAGACCAGGTACAGACTCTGCACCTTGCGCTTCTTGTACTTGGTATTGAGCTAACATAAACATAAAACAAAACCCCCACATAGAGAACTCGACCCGAGCCATGATTTATGTCGTTGCAAATGGTAAATTAATGGATGTTAAAAAGATGAGAGTGAAAATATGGAAGAGGTTTATAGACAAAGATATTGAGTATTGAAAATGACAATAATTTGTTTCGAGTACAATTACAACTAATTAACATCTGAACCAAATATGGGTTTTGTTTTGCTTAGATGTTAGTTTCAATGTCTAAATAAAGTGTCCAAAACGCTAGTTATTTAACTGTGTAACTCACTATTTCTCTAATAGTTGTATTCATATTTGTACATAATAATCAGCACGGGTAATTGTTGAAATAACCGATAGAGTACGGATATTTTGACAACCAGAAATCATATAACTCTTCAAACAACTCATTTTTATTAATATAATAATCTATAGAATGATTTAATAAAAATAAAAAATAAAATAAAACTATTATTATAATATTAAAAGAGAGTTGTTTTGAAGAGTTGTATGAATTTGAGTTGTCAAAATATCATTTTCCTAACCGATATAAGTTTTGTCAATGATGTTCATTAAATATTTCGACATGTGTACGTGTTAAAGACGTTATGTGTAAACAAGGGTATTTTTAGCTTGTAATGAACATTTATACTTTTTTTGGCTTGTTCAGTTTGCCCCTAATTTGCCATTGAACCTCTTCTTCTGTGGACGAAGATTTCAGATTCTCAATAATATCTAAAGCTTTGTATGAAGTAACTAGTCCAGTTATTTTTGTATAACAAATAAATTAAGATAATTTTTTTTTAAATAAAATTAATATTTTGTCTATTATTCCCAAGATTCAAGTCCAAATGTTTGTTACCAAATCTATGCATGCAATCTAAATTTATAAAAGTAAAGCAAAGAAATCTAAATTTATAAAGATAAATCTGTCACTTTTAAATTTAAAATTTTCAATGATAAACAACAATATTAATAATATAAGATAGGATTAGAAGATTTAAACATTTGAAGTAGAGGTGTCGATTATCAATAAAACTAACACTGAAATCAGAGCCAAAAAGGTTGTGCCAAAATAAAGCACCATATTTAAGGATTGTAATTCATGATCTAAGCAAAGTAAAACAAGAAGATCTTATCCAAATCGTGTAATATAAAGCTTAAGGAAAAAAAAATACAGAAAACAAAACTGTGCTATACATTGTGTAGTACATCATGAAAGTAGTCTAATTAATACTTGTCTCTTTCTCAGGAGCCTGCTACTGAATTGCAATGCTAATTGCCAAGACAAACTCTATTACCGATAAGAAAATTGATTTCTAAATGCTTTCTTAAACTTTTCAAGGGATGTTCTTTTGGCTGTTATGGCAACATCATCCAGAAATCTCCTCTGAGGAAATTCTTCAGGCACAAGAGTTTGATATGTTTCAAACTGCTTTGCAGCTTCCTCATTTTTACCCAAGAGACTGTATATTATTCCCTGCAATTTTGTTTAAGACCAATTTAGCCATTTCATGAATGGAACCGATCAAAACCACTTGTGTCTCTTCCTGATAGATTCTATCACCACACAAAGAAGCCATTCACTGTGAAATTATCTTGTAAAATTATACTTGCAAAGTAATTGCATTAATATAAATAATAAAAATTTAAAGAAAACCAGATAGGCGCAATACGGAAAATTCAAATAACAGTTAGCACCATGAACACTGAAAGGAAACAAATTTGTGAAGCTTAGCGCATCTTCAGCACGCAATGCAGACATAGAAAAAACAGAAGTGGAAGCCATACTGAATGAAGTTTATTATAGAAAAGCTACAAGATATGGGCACTCTAAAGTAAAATCATTCAACAGATGATCAACTCCATTATTCTCAAGATACAGCAGAAGAATTTAGAGTCTTACTGAACCATCTTTGACGAAAAGACTAGACATAGGAGAAAGACCTTACCGTTATGTTTAACTTTTCTGTAAGGGTTCCTTACTCTTCACACCCATGAAATTGTTATGTACAATCAAACAATAATCACACAGAATACACTTGCTGAGTCCATTGAAAACATCTCCTCTCTATGTTTGTGCTCTAAAGTTTTTCAAATGAAAATAATATCAAATTAAAAATTTAGTCCCCACAACTAAAAGTTTTTTTGTTTTAATCCTCATATGACATAACTCTACATTTGGGTCCCTAAATGAAAAAACATAACCGGTCTCCCATGTTTATCAAAGCTGTAACAATGTTAGATTTTGCAAAGTTGCATCAAACTATTTCATGAGTGCAAGCTTAATAGAAAATGTTAAATTATCCATTTAGTAAGCATTTCACTCTCGGTTTTTATTTTTACCCCTTTTTTCTTTTTTTACCTGGTTCACTAAGTTTTGATTGAGATGAAAGGATTCAACTGAAACAACTTTGGGACCAAGTCAATGATTTTTCGGTGCACCTGGCAGAGCTAACACTATGACCCAAGTCATTTATTTTTTTATTTATCAGATGAATAAGTGCTTCAGCTCAAAAAAGGTTTCCACTTTTGAAGTTATAAAACCAAATGAACAAAAAGTTTGGCAATATTGTTAAAAACAGAAATTTTGTCTATAAACCATTGGCACTATCCTACATGTTCAGAATGAGTCTCAAAGATTAACCAATGTCCATTGTATGCACAACTCATTATTGACTAGCTGACAAAGTCACCTGGCAAATGTAAGGCCTAAAATCTCGAGGATTTTGATCAATCAATTCTTGAAATCTCTGTAAGCCCTCCTCCAAATTACCCTGAAAAGCACACAATGCTATGCATGTTAAATTATTAACTCTCAAGAGATACTGTTTATGGTTTATCCTGAATTGGTAGCAGATAAGCAGAGAAAGTGGAAACTGGTTTAGTACTAGAAAAATTTGAAACAATCCCACCCCAAGTTGATGGATCATCAGTTCACCTGTACAGCATGCATTTGTGCAATTAAGATTCTTATATTTCTCTCCTCGGTAACTCTGTTCTCACGAGAAGCTAACTCTTGAGCCTTATTTAGCATTTCAAATATAGCAGGACCTTCACGGTTTTTATGCATTGCCATAGCCAAACCCTGTAAAGGAGAGTATCACTCATCTCATCTCATTCATAAATGGGAAAACGTAACAAGCAAAGTGCTATGGTAACTTATTACATGATGTGGGGTCGAAATACAACATGAATATGCAACCATATTTCTTTCGATATACGACCAGGCAGCCACAAACTTTGCTAAGAAGCATGTAACGTGCTACATTCAAAGCTAAATCTATAAAGTACAACACATATCTCTTGGAATGAACTTCCAACTAGCCTAATCAAATCCTATCGAAAGAACGCACACAACAAAATGAAAAGGCGAAATTCAACAAAATAAAATAACCCTTCAATACTATTTATGGTACAGAAATAATACCAGGAAGCTCTCTACAAGAACTCTTTGGACTTCAAGGTAAACACAAGATGTTGAAGCAAACTTATAGGAGAATGACGAATTAACCTTTTTCAGAGAAATAGTACAAATAATAATACCAACACACAACATAATAAGAAATTGAAAATAATACAGTTAAACACAATAATTGAATGGAACTTGGTAGGATGTGGAACCATGACAATACATAAGTAATAAATATGCTAGTATGTCTTCAAGGAAACAGTCAATTTTGTTTTAGAGGGTATTCTAGGGAAAAAAATGCATAATTTACAATACACAAGCACATATTCTTATTTTCCGTTTTCCTTCTCTCCGTTTAGTAGGAAATCACTTTGGTGCAACTTAGGATCAGCCTTCTCCTCAAGTCGTCATTTAAGTTTCTCCCATATTACCTCTTGTTCCCCAGACTGAGACAAGTTTATGTAACACTCACGTCTAAATTGAACTCATCCCAAAATCAATCCTTCCAGACACCCCTTCCAATGTAGTATTACATTACAGTATAGTTATAGTAGTTATTTAAACAATTGGCTAGAAATCATCATAACTGCCACTAAATTCATCATATAAATCTACCACCAAACAAACCCTCTTCTCAAATTATGTTCTAAAGGTTTTGACTGTTAACACGTATCCATTGCCCAATCGCAGCTTCAATTGCTTATAAAAATATCAGCATAATCGGAACGCTTTTGAAGCATCACCTCTGAGACCAATACTAAAAGTATCCACAATTCTGGTTAAGGACGCCATGAGAGAAAAACAAAATAATTTAGTGAGGTTATAAAATGCCAACTTGAAATCATCATGACATTTCCATACAAAACAAAAAATGATTTATCTTCTCCGAGGCACTGCAATTTTTATGATGTGCACTACTAGCAATCAGAAAAAGAATAATTATCAGCATTCAAATTTCAAATAACAAAAACTGAACCACATTTCAAATTTGCGAATTGTTCACTGAGAGCATACAACTAACCAAACCAAAGCCTACCTATCTATCCACCCACCTTTCTAACCCGAACCAAAATTCAAACTTTTCAGTGAACATTCAAAATTCCATCAGCAAAAAGGGACAGAAAAACATTACATGCAAAGCTCTGAGTAGAAGAGGCTTTCTCTTCAAGATTTCTCTGAACAATCTTTTAGCTTTACTCAGTTGCCCCATTGTCTCATAACAAAGTGCAAGCAAAAGCCTCCACTCAACCTCTTTCGGCTCTGCAGCAATCAAATCCTCCACGAACTTCACAGCCTCCTTGGACTTCCCTCTCCTAATCTTCCCATACAAAACCACCTTGAGAGCGTCAACATTTCTCGGATCCTTCTCCAAAACCTTCTCCCACATTTCCTCCTCTTCCTCGAGTTTCTCTTCCTCACTCTTTTCTTCTCCGCGTTTCTCTTCCTCGCTTTTTTCTTCCTCATTTTTCTCTTCTGCGGGCTTCATCTTCTCCTCTAACACAACACCAGAACCCACAGAAGGCGCTGCTTCTGCGAAAGCAGCTCTTTTGCTGAAGCAACCTGACAAGAGAAACGACCCAATGAGAAAAACTGCTACCTTTTCTGAAAGGAACTTGGATAAAGCTCTTCCCGGTGAAAAACTCGACGAGGGTGTGCAAGGGGTGTGGGAGCAAGTGAATGTCGAGAAAAGGGTGGCGCAAACCATGGCTGGCTGAACCGAAATTGATGTGGGTCTGCTGCGGGTATGAATTAGTGGGTGGCCAAGCAAATTGCGGAACTTTGATTGGGATTCGGAGTAAATGAAGAAAGTGGTGATTGAAGTTGAAGCCATTTCTCGTAGATGTTCTTGCCGGCAAAATATTCCCCGGTTGACGTCGGCTTTTGCGACCAAGGGCACCTCCTTGCCTTTTATCCACTCCCTCCGAAAGCGTTATTATTGGGTCAAATCTCTCGTTTATTCACACTTAACTAAAACACACATGTTCTTCGTAATTTTGATCATATAAAATTTTATTATTTTATTATAATAAAGAAATATTTATTATAAAAACTTATTTAATTTTATCTTAATTTTAATATACTATGATTGAAAGTACATGTTAATTCATCTATAACTATAGTCACTTATTGACATACAAAAAAAAATAATTATTACAAAATTGACCATGTTAAATTATATGATGATTTGACAATTTTGTTTTTTCACATGGTTAGCATATAATCGTCAAACCACTTATTTTTTAGATTTGAAAACTGTAATTTTAATTTTAAGTAAGAGATATTTCCTCAATATTTAATGTTTTGTGAATCTTGCAAAATTACTTTTTAGAATTGCGATATTTAATGTTTTGAATTTTTTAGATTGAATGGCATAAATTAAATAAATTAATTATATCCTTTTGTACACTTTTTTTTTAATCTAATTATAGATTATGAAACTGGATTCAACAAACTTTCTTACTATATATATAATTTATAATTTTTTAATTTCATTTATTATTTTTAATGAAAATTTATTTTAACATTTATGATGTGAAAAGGTACAGAAAAACAACATTTATTTTTTATACCTATTTTTTCACATTTTACTCGTCAAATTACTTGAAACCAATTTTATTAGAAAGTAAAGTTAAATCTTATAAATTAGACTTTTGAATTACCAAAAATATTTCTAAATAAATCATTTATAATTGATAGATGTTGGTATTTCAATTCTAAAAAGTTTGTTTAATTTATATATTTTAATTGGAAATATTTTTAAAATATAAGTATGTATTATAAAACCAGATTTTTTTAAGCTTGAGAAATAATTTAGTATATTTAACAGTTATTTATTATCTTAAATATTTATTCTTTTAAAATGTAAGATAGAAGAAAATATTTTCTATATAATATTTGGATAATATAATGTGAATTTACGATAAAAATGATAAAACGAGATACGCCGCAAAACGTAAAATAGGTTAAATATTTTTAATTCGTAATTCGTTTAGGCTCATTTTATATAATTAGTAACCAGCATTTATTTTAAAATATTTAAATTAATAAATTATCTATAAAATCTCTACATTTAGTATATTAATAATTGTTAATTTTTGTTAAGATTTTGTTTTAGTTTTTTTATTTTGATTTAAAATTAATTGTGATTAGAGAAGACTCTAATGTATCTAGCTAACTCTCATACTTGATTATTTGAAACAAATATAAAAAAATAGAATAATTATAAAGTTAAAAATTAAATTCATTAAACAATAAAAATAAAAAATAAAAGATATTCAATTGAAGTTTATAATAATGAAAAATTCTTTTTTCAGAGAGATTACTATGATATTTTATTTTGATTTTTATGAACTGAAATCCTAAGAAGGTAATACAACAAATAATGTGTTGATTATATAGTGGGTTAAAGTTTTTTTCTTTAAATTATATAGTAAATTAGTTTGAAGGAATTAAAATAGGTTTAATTTGATGAAACATATAAAAAAATAAATAAAAAAATTATGATATAAATGAAATGAAATCTATTTTTATTAATTTATTTGAAATATAGCTTTATAAACCTACGTCAATTTAATATATAGATTTGTGAATAAATTTATTTTATAAAATAATAATTATTTTTAAAATAAAAATAATATTATTTTAGTAATATATATATTATAAATAAATTTGATAAATGATTTAACTTATTCTAATAATTAATATTAAAATAAATACTTCATAACCACTTATTTAAAAATTTAAAAATTAAAATTAATTATTATTTATATTAAAATATTATTAAAAAAATATAATCAAAAATAAATTTTTATTTTTTATTTTAAAATTAAATAAATATTTTTTATAATTTATATACTGAATTATTAAAAAAATTAAATTTATTAATAAAAATAAATTTTTTAAAATATATTTTATTTTATATTTTAATTAATTGATTTTGTATAAATATATTAATATTTTTTTTAATTCAATCGTACCAAATTTAGTACGTATTAACTTATTGTCCTACTATAAAACTAAATTAAACTAAAATTGACCACTGATTGACCCTTGAGACCAAATCAGACTGTACTATATGTTTAACAACTCTAATATCAGGCCACTGGTCCAAATAACGTGCAAGTTCATACTTTTTGCATATTCGATCTGCAAACATTATAACCCTATATTTTTATGGGAAAAAAAATACAAAGCAAATAAAAAATGGACGAACTGATTTATTTTATCATTATAATCTACCATAAGCTGTTATAGTTTGCATAAAAAACTTTAATTACTTTTTAATATCTTCTTAATTTGCTTGTCTTAATTTTTATTAAAATAATCATTTTTATGTAAAGATAACTTAAAATAGTAATGACTTTTCGTTTTAATTACTTTAAATTTTATTTATCCATGTGATATAGGTATTAAATATTTGTGCATCCATTACATATATGTACTATATAATTATTTATACTGATTATGGTGTGTGTGTGTGTGTGTGAGGATAAAAAACAAAATCTATTGATGTTGATATGATTGAATTTCATATATTTTATGTTTGGAGATAAAATTTTGCATTTCTCTAATTGGGTTAATTGGCAGAACAATTTGTATATTGTTTTCATTATAATTGCTATAATAAAACTAAAAATTGTATTAAAAAACATGGTTCTTTATATAACTTAGTGATAATAATTTGAAAATAATGGGGAAAAGTTTATCATTATACTTAGTATATAAAATAAAATATAGTAAGTAAGAATGTACATATAATGTAACAAAATAACAAAAATAAACATGCTGGATAAAACTTAAGCATTTAATAAGTTCATTCACCTTATGTATTAAATTATAATATGTTTTTGTAAAAACAATTTTTTCATCAAAACTCAGAAAGTTATACAAAATCTAACATCTCATTTAATTATAATTTTAAAATAATAATATATATATATATATATATATATATATATATATATATATATATATATATATATATATATATATATATATATATACCTGCGTTGCTAATGCCACCTATTAAAATCATATAAAAGTAAAATAATCATCAAAATTATAGGGAACCCATTCAATAGTCATGATAAACTGGTATAAATGTAAACTTTAACTAAACAATAACTATTTATGAGAAAATTCTACTTAATATATTATAATAAATTTGCAAGTGAAATAAATGTGTATTTTGTAAACTTAAAGATATCAATAAATGATAAAAAAATTTAATTACATTAATAATAAATATTTTTATAGTTTTATTTTTTTTCTTTTTAAATACTTGACCATTATGTATTTAATAAAAAAATTCTTTAAAAATTTAGAATATTTCATTTTTTTATGTATAAAATTTTACTTAAATTTATAATTATGATTTAAAAATTGAAGAATTTTTGTTTTAAATTTGTATTTTTTTTATTGTTATTCTCTTCCATATTTGATTTTTTTATCTAATTGATAACATGATAAGATTAAAGAAATTAATTTTGATTTTACGAGGTAAGTAAGAATTTGAGAAAGTAAATTATGAGATATTTCAAACTTTCCTTTTTATTATTAAGTGACAAATATAAGTTTAGAATACACATGAAATTACAATATCCAAAGAATTTACACCTATAATTACCACATCAATTAATTTTTCTACTCTTACATGTTTTTTTTACAAAACAATAATAATGATGTGGAACAAGTGATATTAGGGATATGAATGAAAATGATTTGTTTGCATTTAAAATATTGGGTTAAATTAATAATATTAATTTTTATAAATAAAATTATTTTTAAAACACATATCATCTAGAAATACTAAGTATAAAGTAGGGATTGATAAAATAAATAAGATTTGATATATAATAAAATATTATTTATGAACCTAAATTCATAAATAGAATAATTTATTTTAAATTTTTTCTGTTTTCTTATTAGATATAAAAAAAAGGTAATAAAACAAGCCCACCTAACATCTAGCCCATATGTTCCAGCCCAAATGTTTCGTAGATTATATAACGTTTATCCTTTTATTATTCTCCCAACAATATTTTATATTTAGATTAATTATTTGTTTAGGTCTCACTTATAAGTCATATCATGTTATTTATAACAGGAATTAAAAATCTTTTATGACCAAACAAAAATAATAAGTTAACAAACTCCTCTAGAAGTTAATGATGAGTCGTATTTTTAGGTCCTAAAACAAGTCCCACCATTATATAAATTGATGACTTTACCATCATTCTATAAACTTAGAGTCGTATTTGTTGTAACATGTTAGGATATATTACATGTGTATCAATCAAAATAGAAAATGAGAATCAACCAAAGCAGATACATTCCAATGTTCAGCCTCCAACAAAAATACATCTTTATTATTTTTTTAGGTCAATTTTATTAAATTTATGAAATAGGACAATTAACTAAAATATGTTCATAAAATTTTGTAATTTCAATATGTATCAACTAAAATGAAATAATTTTTAAAACTATGATATTTTTTTCTTCATAAAATCATGTTTTATTTTTTAAAACGAGAAAAGTGGGAGGAAGAAATGAACTAATAACTATCATAAATAAACAAATTAAGAAATTTGGAGAAAACATGTTTTATATGTATATATGCTCTGTTTGTTCTGATAAGGAAAAAGAATCAAGGTTTTTGTCTCTTTGTCTTTGGTTGAGAGTATAATATTATTATGTTTGTGTGTACAATGTCAAAGCTTATTATGTAAAGTAATTGCTTAGTCAGGAAATAATTTAGAACCGTTAACTAGCAAAGACAAAAAAGGGTGATAATAACAAAGACTTTAAGGGACCTTTTTTTTATAGCATTTA